GAAAGTAATATTTGTCGCACAGAACTCAATCTGTATGGTGTGATTTTACATCATGTGTCGAGACCCCTGGCCGGTGCCCGATTGATTTTCAGGAATGAAAACTCCGGAGGCAGTAAATCATTCCGCGCTGAAGGGTGGGATGGGAAGCTGGAAGGGCTGCCTGGAGGGGGGTTGTGGGTACTCGTGAGTATCGCTGATTAAAAGGAGGAGGTGTTTCCTCCCGACTGAACCAGCTGGAGTTGGCATAGGGCTCTAGCCAGTGTCCATTTTTTTGTTGTTGTTGATTGCCGTACCTTTGTGGCATGTTACAGAAAAATTTTTAGACCAATTCGTCAACCTTGACTGACAAAATCAACAAATATCTTGGACAAAAATGTAAAACATCCGAAGGTCCTCTAACAGCCACTCTCAGCCCATGATTTGCCTCTCAAAATGCAAGAAATTGTGTTTTTGAAATCTTGAGAATCCAAAATTCCCCCGGACCCCCCTACATGAGTTGTGCCTACAGCACACTCTGTCCCGTATCCATACCATCCTATCTGTTCATCCCTTTGAGTGAAAATAACCATATGCATAATCACCACATCTACCTCAGTAAATAGCCATGATATCAACTTGCAGATATGCAGTGGGCCATACATTTCCACAGATCCCGAAAAAGATTGGGGGAAATCATTTTGATGCCAAATGCTGTCCACGTTATGTGTGGTGGAAATGAATGGGGTAGATAAAATATAATTTCTTGGCTTCAATCAATACGTTATACTAGTATACAACTGTATGCACAATGTAAGCCCATCTCAAGGCAAAGAAACTAAATGTTATGCTTTACTTTCATAGCTTAAGTTACACTTTGATTTTATCTACTACTAGTACTAGTATTAGTTTAAATCATGTTGTAATGTTATAATTTTTCATAATGATCAGATTTTTTTATATCTTAAGTTTGGAAATTTCAGTACTGTATAAATTCTATAGAACTACCTTTTATACATGTGTACACATATCACTGTTTGGCAACAATTAAAGCAAAGTCATTGTTAGTTAAAATAAACATTGTGTACATATTGTACCATGTAATTAGAACATTGTAAAAAGTTGTTCAATGTATTTGGGAATGTTGGGAATGTTACGTGTTTACCTGGACTTTGAATGGGGAAAAGTTGGAAAAGTTGTGTAGGTCCATTACTGTCTATAAGTGTACATGTATACCAACTGGATCGTTACAGCACCATTTTTCAGCTTGAGTGAAGTGACAGGACCATCATGATTGGAGCACACAAACGTTCTGCTACCTTCAGTCCTGCCCATTTGCAGGGTTCAGTGAGCAGACCAAAGATTGGAGTTGGCGGTGCTTTTTGATTGATGATGCGTCTTTGACTGTCACCAAGGAAATGAGATTAGTGTAACCCGATATGGATGATGTATTCATAACTGATATGAGAGAAATTCGATATGGGGACTCTATTAGTCCAGACAATTTTTTTAGATACTGCAAAATTGCTCGGTCATTGATAAAAGCGTGACAGTTGCCCATTTTAAAAGGATGTTTCTTAACAATGGTTGACTGGCAGAATTGCAATGTTCAGCATGATAAATAATGCAGTATGATTTAAGCCACTAAACGAGATTATACATGTAAGTCTTGATTGAATGAAGCATGGTTACAAATTTCCAGACCACAGCAAAACTGTAAACACAGGCATTGAGATTCTGCAGTGTTAGCATATTGTGGAAAATGGAAAACTAATCTTCTGGATTCTCGTGGTACATACATGTATCACCTCTGGTACATCCAATAGTATTACTGGGAGGACTTGGTAGATTAAAACAGGCATGTTGAATACCTTGCAAAGGTTACAGAACTTTGTAAGCGAGAAGGCTTGAAATAAGTGGATTATTCTTGTAGTGAAGCCAGTCGTGTATTATGTCTGGTGTTTTTGGCAAAGCTGCTGGATGGTGCCAACAGCCTTAGGGATGGGGATTTGCCTGTCAGCAAATTGCTGGCAAATGCAGAGTCTTCTCTCTATGTCTTTTTTTACTGTTCTTATGTATGGTCAATCTTGAAATGCTTGCTGCACTAGTTTTTGCAGTTTCTATGGCGATCATTTTTCTCAAAATCATCTTTTTTTGTATTTCTATGGTACTACAAAATTCTTTCAGCCATGAACTTCAAACTCCAGAAATCCTTGAGCTCCTTTCGCCACGCATCTTGAATGGAAATCAGTACAATATAAATGCATTTACAGTGCAGTTATGCGTAATTGAATTAGTTTTTTTTTTCCTTACAAAACATTCTAATCAACAATCATAGTTGTCACAACTACTGTAACCATGCATGGAGGTAGAAAAATGAGAAGGAGGGAGCTCAAACTTTCTGCCTTTTGTCCGATGTTGGCCGCGGGCGTCAAAACTGTAATTGGCACGAACTTGTCAATTGCCCTGATTTGCGTAGCCCCCAGAGCGGCACACCAGAGTTTTCCATTGTTATTAATGTCAGTGACAAGACGGCATGCCCGGCATTGACGACTATAAGTGTAGCAACTTTTATATTCTACGATAACTTTGTATCAAATTTGAGGATTACTTCGATGAATGCAGGGAGGGAAGAAGCATGTATCAAAGACGACAAACTTGACGGACGGCACGGCAACTATTTTCTAGTAACCAGATTTCATTGTTATTTCTAGAAATCTTTATACCCCGATACTTGAAACAACAGGAGGTTAAATATCTTTGGTCAAATCCTTGTTTGAGGAACATGTAACGCTACAACCGGTAACCACAATCAACCAAAGAATTGAGCGCATGTGTCACTTGAAATATTTCCTTGTGGTAGAATAACAACAAGCAAGGGTGTCCCGGTTACTACAAGAATGTCTCGTTTCTATTTGGGCCTTCGAGCACAAAATCCATTTTCTACACACCTCCTCTGCTAGCAGAGAGGCACACAGCTTGTAGAATATCGCCACAAATAGTCCACTTTGCCGGAAAAATCGCTACTTTGCCAGTTACGGAAGTTTGGAAAATAGAACATCCACATCGTCAACTATCCAGAATAAATATCGGCAAATCTAGAAAAAATAACACAAATTCATACCAGACGATTGTATTTGTTGAAATGTTCCAGTTCTAAAATGTTCGATTCAAGCTTTAGAAACACAAAAAACGCAGTAACTCGCCCATTTCTCGTCGCACAACAAACATAAACATATCTGCGTGTCCGCCATTTCTATCCGCTCCCGATGCTGACTTCTGCGCAGCAATACGACGCAACCCAAATAAGGAAATGCTCGGAAACTCGGGTATGTCGGTCCCCGCTCGGAATGGACTCGGCCAGACTCGGCCACCGTCGCTGGCAGCGACGTCATTTTCGGCTCATTTGCATAGCCATATATGGAATTCTGGCGGGAGAGACCGCGGCGAACATAGGCATCAAACAAAGTACCGCCGGGCCGGCGGACAATAGAACCCAGCGGGATCTAGCGCCGCAAAACAAAAGGCCGCGGCGGGTGCTAAATACGTGCTCCCTCCTTTCTCTCTTTTACCTCCATGCTGTAACTGATGAAAAAGTTGAAAAAGAAAAAGTTGCTCATAGCTTGCTTGTGATTTGATACATGTTCATTTTGTTGGTTTAGTCTAAATTCTTACACGCTTGAAGCTAAAATTGAAGTCTGCATGCGATAAGACAAACTTTGTCTTTCCAGAAGTGTACTTTTAGCTAAGGGCTCAAATTCTCCTTCACACTGTGCCCCCATTAACACACCCTCCTCTATCAAAACTGCCTTTATTGGCACTTATATCCATTAGTGTTTGTGGGAGCAATGTTCCGTGAGAATGATGATTGCACACTTTCCTGTTACAAGAAAAGATGTGATCGTATATATTGGAATACAGTCATTTTGTATGTGTTGAAAAGCAACTTTTGTTTCGTTTTGAAGCTCAAATAGGTTAGTTTTACACTTTTAATCACTGTAACAATACCATGGATTAGTCATGGAGATTACCTACATGTAAACCTTTAAAAGATACAAGCCAACAACAGTTACTGTATTGTAGCCAATTTGAAGTTTCTACTAGTATTACCTTCCATATGTAGTCCACCCTGCCAACATCCTCAACTCAAGTGACTGTTTCAAATGCTGTGTGAAGTGCAGAATCGTATAGATTTCAGAAATGGTCCAATGTAGTAAGTTCTATTCGATGGGTAGTTTCCAGATGAATGGACTGTCTTCATCCAACTTCCAGAGAAAATCTTGCTTCAGTTGATGTTTATCTGAGTGTCCATTATGGGTTTAACATTACCCTGAGGGCCTGTAGCGTAACAGCATGATAAACACCAGTGTGTGTTGAGTACTACACGCAGACTGACTTTGCCATTTGTTCTGCATCATCTGCTGGTCATCTCGCTGTAATGCCCATGGACAGAACAGATTCACATCGCACTTCTAGCAGAACAGAGTGACTTCTCATATGCTGATATCTGAATTGAGTCACGTTGATGATGTTCGAGAAAGTGCGGTTTATGTTCCACGGATGTTTTACAATGTACTTCTGCATGATGAGAACACCCCGTACAAATGTATCCTAACATTTTCTCTTGTAAATCATTCCTATCTGGAGTCAAAGGGGTTTGGCTGCAGTAGCCAAGTGTGGAACTACAATCATATTACCACACACATTAAGCCTAGAATGTCTTTTCCAAGAGTTTGTTTCAACAAAATTTGATGATTCTTGTACATAATCACAAAAGGCATGATGTCAAAAGGCATGTATATGTACAAGTATGTGACTCTCACTGTACATTCTAGGCATGTGCACACTGTATAGAGTATATAATGATTACGTGTATATATCGAAGAACATCAGACAGGCGATCATACAAAGCTTGATACAAGATGCCTTCTTCTGTTCCTGGCCATCATGCAGACAAGACAGACATATAAAGCCTCTTGTGACAGGATTTACATGTAATAATGTAATCCTTGTCTCCCTCCCAGGTGTACCAAGGCTGGCTCCATGGGTCCAAGCAGATCATCATGAAGTGCAACCTGGCGCCCATCTTCCACGACGGGCTGGATCGCGAGATGCCTTACGAGCGTCCGGAGAAGGGCTCCTCCATGGACGACTTCCGGGAGATGCTGCAGGACTTTCTGGAGAGAAACCTGGGGAAGGGAGAGCACAACGCCCTGCAGACACGCATCCTCAACGCTGCAGACATCAACAACGACGGCAAGGTCTGTATGAACAAGATTGAACTGTTTAAAGTTAAAACTTTTGATCCAACACAAAGAAATCTCTCACCTAGAGCTACTTTCATGATAGTATAAGATTGAACTGTAATGACCAACACAAAAAAATTGGACTCACCCAAATTTTTGACTGTACAAGTCAACTCCAGTCTTTTTCAAGGAATGAGCAATCCACCGCTTCTGTGATGTCACGCAGATACATGTAACACACGTGACTCCGTGAGCAGTGGATCATAGGTTGCAGAAAGTCCGTTGTGCCCCCCGTCTCTGTTGAGGGATGCTTGTAATGCCGTGATGTAGATGGCCTCTTTAATCCCTGGTGCTTCAAAGGTTTTTTATATTGAATAAACCATTCTCTCTATCTCTCTCTAAGGTGACTCTTGCAGAGGCCAAGTCCATCTGGGCGCTGCTGCAGGTCAACGAGTTCTTCATGATGATGATCCTGCAGGACAGCGAGCACACCCCCAAACTGGAGGGCTTCTGTGGGGACACGTACTTCGTCCAGCGGGTGGACACGAACCGCCTGTACGGCGTCCACATCCCGTGGATGTTTGAGATCTTCCTCCCCACCAGTTATCGCCAGGCCATGGACCAATGGTTCACCCCCTCCTGGCCTAAGAAGGCCAAAATCGCCGTCGGACTTCTTGAGTTTGTGGAAGAAATTTTTGACAGCTCGCACGGCACCTTCCACATGTGTAAAACCAGCCACACGAACATCGGCTACACGATTAAACACGACTTGAAAATGATCGATCTTAGGAACCTTTACCCCGCGGAGGTCCTGAAGGAGACGCTCACCGAGAAAACGTGTTCTAAGAACGCGGACTGCGAGCTGACGGAAGACTGCAGCTCCATGTGCGACGAGACCGCGTCGAGATGTACGGGCGAGCTCGTCCGACCAAACCTCTCAAAAATCTGCGTAGTTTTACATGACTATCTTCTGAAGGAGGTCCCAGCGGGCATCAAGGATGAGCTGACGTCGCTGCTCGATAAGTGCAGCAGACTCACCACCAACACAGAAGATATGCAAATCCACCATTCCCTCATCCTCAACAACCTGAAGTCTTTATTGTGGAAACAGATTTCTGATGTCCAGGACTCCTAGCACCGGGGGATGACAGAGACTTATACATATGTACATGTAGTTATGGTAAAACATCTGGTTTGGTGCACTCAACTTTTGTAGACAATATGGTGTGACAATTGGGAGTTTATCAATAATGGAAGGAGATGACAAAAAAAGAACATATATGGCAACTTTTGAGGAGAATCCACCTCAATAAGAATTTTCTTGTGTCAAAAAACTCATGTACAGCTATGTATGAACATTTCTAGAGTGGTGGCTTATTTCGTTTGACCATTTAACTTATATTCTACTCCTTTTCCCCTGTTCATTCAACAGCACTCATACATGTACATTTTGTATCTTACACTACTTTGCAGGTATTCAGACAGATACATATACGTGTATCATTGGTGGAAGGGTATCGATGTATGTAGTTAAAAAATGATTTTTAATCTCTTCTGAGAAGAGGATATTGTCAACCAGGCAACTATACATGTACATGATATGAGGATAGACATCGTTGAATGCACCTTACCAAGATGTTTAATATAATGTACAGTAGATAATGTAGATGTTTAGAACCTAACTTCAAAGGACGTGTTGTCCTTTAATTTTGAGACTGTTTTAAGTTAAGCTGGGAAAGGAGGAGAAAGTTTGTAAATTAAGAATTAGCCATCTTGACTTGAGGGAGTGAAAGTTATTCCAGTCTTCCTCCACTGTCAGTCCTGTAGCAAAACTATTGATGTTAGAGTTTGAAGTCACAGAGACAGAGCTCTCCAGGGTTTTCTTGGCAGAACGCCACCTCAGACGTACGTGTACAGAGAGCAATAGTACATTTCCTCTGCTCCGTATCACACCGATCTTGTCACAAAAATCGTTCCTTCAGACGTGGACGTGAAATGGATGACACTCCTCAGCGTTTCTAGATGAGTTGACTTCGCCATCTGGTGATAGAAATCCATGACTTCAATCTTTGTTGACAGAATTTTAGATATAGACTGGCTAAATTGGAGTACCTTGTTTATCTATCGAAGATATGCTGTCCTGGAACTCTGTTCTAATGCAGTTTAGATTTGGCAGTCTATGCAGCTATTGAATATTGCAGTGAAAAATGTTTTCCCTGACATTCTGTAGCCAATGTGGCCAGAATTCTTCCCACCACATTCAACTTATAGATAGACTGTCTGGGATGAGTCTATACATGTAGCACTCCTGGTCAACAGGTAAGTGAAAACTTATGAAAACTGAAACTTCCTATTCAATACATTCAGCCCACCAAAGTGTTACTGTACATTGTACATGTATCCCACCGGTATTTTGTGAACAGTCATGAAGAATAGCGTTTTGTGTTCATAGTCCAAGTTCAGAATTCCAAGACACAAGGGTGGGTCTCAAGTTTGTGTTTCCTGCACACCTTAAGCTAGGCAACTTGTCTATTGATGAAAATGCTAAAGTATTTTCTTTAAGTTTAACCATTGAGAAAATGTAAAATACATTACCAAGAACAGTTCAGATTTGAATCACTAGAGATCTGTGATACAAAGTAATGAGTTAGAACTGTTAATGTGCTCTAATGTCGTTATGTTTATGTTGGGAACAAGCACTTACCATATCATGTATATTACCATACAGTAGCATCTACCTATAGGCAGCTTGTCTGCTGATGGGACTATAGAATGGTTAAGTATTTTATCTTTACTTTTACGGATAAAGAAGAAAATTGTATTTGAAGTTGTAGCAGGCAGGTGGTTCTTTTGGTACAGACAGCAAATCTGCAGGTCTTAAAGATCTGGCCTGCTGCACTTCTCTGATAAAATGCTAGGTGGCAGTACTGGGTTGGTGCCATCCTGTGGCAAGGTACCTACATGTAATGCCATTGCAGAGACATTGCATATGCTGAATATTTTAATTTATGATTCATAAAGCTTTTGTTATACTCCTTGTGCTGTTTGCCATATATATATTTATATATCAATTGGAAAGTTTTGTTGCTATATGCTGTTGCTTAGTCCTCTCCAAAAGTCTAGCAAGCTCTGGAGTTGGCTAGCTTAAATGCAGGTGGAGCTGACAATTGTGTGGAAAATGCGTATTCATTTATCTAGGATAGGACAGTTGCTGATTTGAGATGTCCAAGTTGCAGTACATGCTCTTTCCAGTAGGTGGCACTTTATCTGCCATGTTGTGAGATGAGTTCTTTAGTTCTATAGCAACATACACATGTAACACAGAAGAGTAACTTACACTATGATACAACCAGATGAAGCAACTACTGTTACAATGTATGCCTCTATTCTCATTCTCATAAGATGTTGAGCATCAAACTATCCATAGATTTGTTAAGTTTTCTGCATTATTTCTGCAATCCTCTATGTAAACTGTAAAAGGTAGCAATGTATTTGCACTGCTTGACTCTGTTGCCATTCCAAACTTTTTGAAAAGTTAGAACTGTTACAGTATTATGACATGCCCAGAACTTTTAACTAGATAACATGTATATTGAAGTACTGTATACATGTATGCATTTCCCCAACTTCCCCTACACCAAAATACATGTACATGTATGAAGCAATGGTACATGTAGCAATGATAGCAATGTTTAGTTTGACTATCATATTTTTTTGCTTTACCAAATGATTCACCATATGATCAACCTCTACTATTACAATTCAGGTGTATAAAATCGTGTATGAAATGTTACAAAGACTTGACAAAGAAAATGACGTGTATTTTGGACTGATACAGTTAGACATTGAATCTATCAAGTTGGATTGACTTTGCTTGTATTAGTGATTTCCTTATTAGTTTGTACTTCAGTCCATGACGTTGAAGCATCATAAAGGACACAAAATGTACAGATAAAAAACTTGCAATAGGAGCTGCAGTTTTATTGAATACATATAGAGATAATTTATTCCAAGACCAGCTGATAATGTAAAGGTTTATTTCATGCTTCCTTATGGCAACTCTGTGAATTTCTGCAGCTATTGTGAGAAGATTATAATGTATTTGATAGGGATACAGTAGTCAGATAACTTGATAATATAACATACAGCACAGTTATATTGATCAATTCATTTTCCTATGTTAGATATCATAAGGAGTTGCACAATTCACGAGTTTAGAGGTGAATATTAGGACGACTGTTAGAAAGACGATACACTTTCTGTACTGGGAACACAATTCTCTTCTTTTTTTTTCCCAAAAGTAAGTATTTGCCAGATGAACATACCAGTATTCGGCATTTGTTTTTCTCAATGACATACTTTGTTCAATTTGTTATGCTGCAGTTTTTTCTTCCAAAGTGAACATCACAGTTATGGTAATTATGTACCCCTTGGAAAAACTCGATGACTTCCATCATTGCCTAGTCTCAGAATCTGTGCTGTAGTGATGATTTTATCATAAAGCTGGCTTGGGGTCCACATGTTCTGAATACATGTATGTGTCTGTCTCAGTTTTTTGTCTCCATTCTTCTCCATTGTAGAACTCATGGAAAATTCCTAGTAAATACTATAGAAGAGTAAGTGTGCTATCTGGGGAAAATCAGTGTGTCTTGAGCACCATTTCATGGCTTCATGAAACTTCATATGTAGAATCATACATTTCTAATATAACTACTTGGATCTGAGCAAAATGCACTTAGATATATCTCAATGTTGAAAGTTCTGTTTGAAAGGATCAATGTTGACAACTATGAAACATGAAAATATTATTGCAACAGAAATTAGCCAGCGATAACAAATGAAAAATTGTCACAACAGAGTTAGTTGAAGCAGCAGTTGATAGACGTCAGTGTTGAATTTCAATTTCTGGTCTCCTACAAAGAATAAGTACAGGGTGTAGATGAAGTACTTTCATGGTCTTTTAAGACCGACGAATGCCTACTACGAAGTACTGACTGCTGTTGGGTGATCAGGCTAGCCTCTACCAGGCTTCAGGAGGCAGCTGGAAAGAGTAGACATTGGCCAAATTAGCAGCCTCCCGAAGCCTGGTAGAGGCTCTGATCAGGCAACCAGGACATAACCAATCATTTGTCGCCCTTGAAGGTGGTGAGATCAGCCTTGACTGTCTTGTCCATGCTCGGGTCCACGAACTCCTTCCCTGTCATGTCTGTGAAGTTCTCACATTTCAGGATGGCATCATTAGGAACCTGTTTATGAGAGAACAGAAGAACGAAAATTTACATCAAAAACGGCATAGAACAAGAACTCTATGGAAGGACAATGCATGGAAACAACTGCATATAACAATGTACAATGGGCCTCAAGAAACTTAGGCACAGTTAAGTTACTGTATTCTAGAGAGTGATTTCTAGACCGATAGAAAGACTAGCATTTCTGTGACATTTGTGTATGTACATAGATTGCCCCAACTTGCTGCTGATTCCATCACCCTAGCCATACCTTCTAGAGAATAATCTTTCAATGTTGCAACACAATTTTTATAATACAGAATCTTAAACTGAAACACAAACTGGAAAGGTACCTTGTGGAGTGGTGTGTACTGCGGGTGGTGGTGCACGTATACAGGGTTGTTACTTGCGCGGTTGTAGGAACAGATGAAGTTCCAGCGGCGCCGCGTGGAGTCGTTCTTGTCGCTGCTGTGAAGCAGGTTGCAGTGGAAGAACAGCGCATCACCTGGACAAACAACAACATTGTATTGTACCTGTCACATTATTATGAAATAGCCATATCATCATCTGGGATTCTCCACCTAATTCTTCAGATGTATGTATGTATGTATTATTTCAATTCAATTATGTTTAGTTTTGGTTAGTATAGAGGGGGAGCTAAATAAGCTTTTGCCCTCCTGCTGCACCTGTTTTATTTATTATTAGTGTATTATGTATAATTTTTTAATGCTGTTGTGCAAATAAACAAACGAACAAACAAAACAAACTGTAACATAAATCTCAATCTTAATCTCCAAGCAGAAGCAATATCCATTGGCCAGAGGTCTGTCCATTAGCCAGCAAAGGATGCCAATGGTTACTGCCTTGCCACTATATGATTTGCTTAGAGATTACCCAATCTTACCTTCGTCCAGTTCTGCATAGTCCAGAGGGCAGATCTTCATGACCTCCTCCACCCTCTTCATGTCTGCTCCTGTCTGCCCTCCCACAAACACGTGGTCAATCCGCCCCAGTTTGTGGGACCCACGGAGAACCTGGGAAGTTGTGAGCAGAAAACAGGATCTCAAAAAAGAATTTGTTACACATTCACTCACTCACTATCCAGTTTAACATCAGTTGTGCCCTGTCTCCTGAGAGTTAGACAAGCTTGTATGCTTATGCTGTGGATTAATAATATGCATTGCAAACATGTATTTTATATTAAAACATGACATGACTGTGAACCATGAGCAAGTACTCAACAAAACCATGATCAGTTTAGATGGGTGTACAGGTAAGATAAAGGCAGTATGCTTTTATACCTGGAGACATCCATTCTCCCTGTCTGCCTTGTCTACTGCGATGATGACAGACGCCATGTCAGGAAACAGACAGCCGTTCTTGTACCAGTAGCTGGGAGAGGTTCAAAGTTAACACACCAGAGTTAACAGTTCAGCTACGCACTGGTCAACAGATCATAGGAAAGGCATCAATGAAGAGATACATTGCAATATCATCTGTAACGACTGTTTTGTTTTGTTTTGTTTTGTTTTATATGAAGGAAGGTAAATGTTGGACATGATTGGCCAAGCTGGTTGTTTGTATTAGATGAAGATCTTTAGTTTGCTATGGCCGTTATAAGCTGAGGTCACACCAATTTAATTTGTTGGTTCTCGGATTCCCCTCTCCATTTTTTTCTGATTTGTAATATAAACAAAAAAGATTCTGGTTCTGAATCAACTCAATAATGCTCATATTTTGCTCCCAACAGTTCAGATTAGTACTTTTCTTCCTAGTTGTTGCAGTTTTTCCATCTATCAATGCAGTGGTTTGATTTAAAGTTCAAAATTCGTTTAAATATTAACCCAGCCGCGTTTTGTGTTGACTTCATGGCTCCAATCATATTTGGGGTTATAATAGGATGCCTATACCTGTTTTTATTTTTGTTTTTTTGCCCTGTTGCTTCATATTTTTTCTGAAAAAATCCGAGAACCAACAAATTCAATTGGTGTGGCCTGATGAACAAAGCTGTTGTATGTGAACCTACCCGTAGTCCTGATGCCAGTTGATAGTCCCCCCAGACTGAGGCTCCTTCATCACCAGCTTGGTGTGGTAGTGATAGACCTCCTCTCCTCCAAGCAACTTTCAAAATGAATCATCATTTATACCTTTGAGTAGTATTTTCGCAAGTGCAAGGCCAATATCTCATTGCAAGTTACAATATACTATCTAAATTTACTAGAATTTCATACTACTAAATTGTGAATCTCATGATTTTTGCTAATATATCGTAATGTCAAAGTTCAGCAAGTTCACATAGCCTTCACATTTCTGCGTATGTATACGTTGGAGCTTTTTAATTGACATGTACAAGAAATCGTGATATTGCCAATTAAAATGCAGGCATTCAAATCAAATGTCCAACGCCATCTCTTGACATAGCCATATTTCTCTCATATTTCTAGTTCAATCCGCGAAGTGGTCGTATAGGCCTTGCATTGAACCACTCCGTTAAAAAAAAGGTCATACATGTACTTCTGAATCACCTTTTGCGAGTACCCTGCCACCTTCTCCACCCTCCCCACCATACCGGTCACATCGTCCCCAGGATGGCTCCAGATACAGTACCCACTACTCCTGCCCCTGCCGTCAGGGATCTGGTACGAGTGTTTGGTGATCCCTTCACTGTGATCTACAGCCTTGTGGATCTTCTTCATCTCTTCTTTGGTAAGTAAGCCTCTGTAGTAAGGTACAGGGTCAGGGTCATTTTTACTTCGAAGCTTCACGTCCCTGTGACTTTACTTTTATCCCTGATGCAGGGGACAGTGTGTAAGGGCAATGCAGATTTGATTATATTATTTATGACCCCAAAGCCAATGCGAGCGTGCAAAGAAAAAAGAGGTTTGGGAAAACATTGCCTTCATTATGACATCCAGGTAACCAGAAAGATGCAACAAATGACTGATCACAAAGAGACTAAAGAACAGTTCATTAATTACTATATAAACTGTAAACACAAACATTGCATGACGCATTGGTTGTAGTTACGCCCGTACATGTATCACAAGTAGCCTACTTAGTAGCTGTTTCAAAGCAGAAAAAGGCAACAAAAATTTTACTGAAGAAACAATGTCTTACCTGACGACGATGTAGCCATGTTCGTCAAAGTCTGCCTGTACTTCAGGAGTGATGTCAAATGTCTCCGTCCACTCGTACTCTGGAAGGAGTAGGTTTACCACCTTACTTTACGCTTTAGGTCGAAGATACTACAGTATAAGATTAATCATTTTATGAGCACTCATACATTCTTCGAGTCCCAGTGGGCAGACTGCCCTTATGTTACTCTGTAAGATTCTGACTACATATTACATGTTTGATCATGCGGGTAATGTCTTACCTGATTCATTCAACAAAAATTCTAAGGTTGTAAACAACGGTACAACTCCATGCCGCGTCTCCGAAATGCACCATGTTCAACATTACAACAAGTCTAGAGTACGGTTGTGATGTAAGGTAAGGGTACCTACCGGCGACCGGCATGTTGTCTTCTTGGTCAATTCAACGGGTAACAGAGGTAAACAGGACAGTCACTGCCTTAGTCTGTCAGGTATACCGGGTGACTGGTCTACATGTCAGCTGCCGCGTACGAAAGAACACCGGTCAAAAGTCCACTATTCCTAAGGTCAACCTGGTACCAACAGGGTCAGCAGTCTTTTGTTTGCGTTAGGCCTTTCTCACGTGTTTCTAGGATTGTGGCACAGGTATACATCTTGTACATGTACGTCTAGTCTAGAGATCGTAATAATTCAATGAAGTAACATTTGCTGAATAGAACCACGATCGGATCGGCAGTATGTTATTACTGTACCATATATGTAGGGACAATGTCCATACTCATAGATTGTAATAGTGTAAGTTTTAGAGCATTAATTACACATATCATTATCAGCATGTAACGTTAAAGTAATGTAAAGCGTCCAGATCAAAATGTCACTTTGATAGTTTACTGATATTCACATTAAAAAAAAAATAATCTAAAAGCATGACTGGAACCGCTATCCGTCCGTCAGCCTAAGTAGACTTGAGCAACAGTCTAAAGTTCACCGACGGTGGCACTTTATGTACCTGGCAATGTCAAACGTCAACGACCGGTCGTTTAGGGCACAGTACACAGTCTTGGGATCTGGTTGGTCTACCTTATCACTTCTGCAGTGTTCACACAACACACGCACGCACGCGTACAAACAAGCACTACAACGCTTCCGAAAATATTATTTTCTTGGTGAAGAAAGCTCCATGGTATTTGTAGTCACGGTCACAATGTGACGGTCACAATGCGACGCTGTCTAATTTAGCGCCACCCAGTAATGGGTGAAGGTTTTGCAGCCACTGGCCTTCATCCACCATTTGACCTCTTTACGTGGACTACATATGTGCTGATGAGTGACTTATTGTGGAGTTATAGGGTACACAGCATGTGATGTGACAAAATGTTTAAGGACCAAAGTTCTGGGGTATTTTTTTCTTTCTCCAGAAAGGTTGACGGGAAGGTCTGTTTTGGTCTACATATACCCACAGTAAGAGGAGGATCAAAGCAAGGAAGGAAGCGTCATGCCAAAATCAGGTGAGGGATGGCACACATGTAGAGGTGTCTACGTTAACGATCCGGTGTGTATCGTCGTGTTGCTCACTTAATCATTCTTTTTTTAAGCAAACTACACCTTAGCCTTTTGACACGTTACATGGTACAGCATAGTCATAGGAGATAAAGATAGTCTTCATCGCAACGTTTGCTAGTATAGTTCTGTTACACTTCTTCCACTGTACATGAAGGTTTGAAACAACTGCATTAAAATGAAGAAATTATCGCATTATGTTTTGAATATGTCATCATCGTTGTCCGACATTTTCTTGTTTTTGTAGACTATCAGTACGAAGAGGGTACGTTTGACGTCACACCCGAGATAAAGCGTGACTTCGACGAGAATGGCTACGTCATCATCAGGTGTGCTTAAAATTACTGAGTAGCAAGAAACATAACGACCGAAAAAAGTACTACCGTATCGCCAATATAACAGTAAACCTTATCGCCAATGTAACATTTTATGGTATGTACATGTACATAATATACCCGTCATAAAAGCTATGAAAGATAGTTGTCCTCTATTGTGAATCTGTAGAATTAGAATTTTCCATGTCTCCATTTCAGGGGTGTCCTGAGTAAGCAGGAGATTTCCAAACTTCGCCAGGCGTTGGAGTTGGAGGACGGAGTGAAGAAACACTCGTACGAGATTCCGGACGGGTCTGGCAAGAACATCCGGCTCTGCATCTGGAGACACCCCGGAAATGACGTCACAGCGATGATAGCCAGGATGGAGAAAACCGCTGGATTCATGGGAAAGGTAATTAAACACCAACGTCGTTGTCCACTGCATATCCAGTGTGCTAAACTGTTCTCTTAGCGCGGACCAACTCCCCGATCATCTGTTTATTTGGTCAATTCTACTCTTTCCAGCAGCTTCCTGAAGCCTGGTAGAGGCTAGCATAACGGTACTATTAAGGACCTTATTGACACCTGTTTGATTGTTTTATTACAGTTCCTGGGAGGTGAGGTGTACCATCACCACTCTAAACTAATTCAGAAGGAACCGTACACTGGCGGACAGTTCAGCTGGCACCAGGACTATGGGTACGCACAAAGTTAGTCTTACCACAGGTGTCATTCAAAATTTTAAACTTATTCGTTCTCTTGATCATGTAGAACCAGTTTAGTTCGTTTCTCACTTGTGAACATCGTGTATTTTTCATCTCAAGTTTTTTCCTTACCTGTGACCTGAAGCAAACGTAAATACCTGGTACGTTAACAGGTCTGTTGTCCTGTGTCGTTGGTTATGACATCATACAGGTATTGGTACAAAAATGGCTGCCTCTTCCCGGACATGGCGTCTTTCCATCTCGCCGTTGATAAAGCAGACAGGGAGAACGGGTGCATGCAGGTAAAAGTGATTGTTTTGCTTGTTTAAAGTTCAACCTTAAACTTTTGTTCCAACACAAGGGATTGTTCTCGCCTGGACCTTTCGGTCAGTCTATTGAAGTCTCGTTGGGTCTGCAGTCTATTGAAGAAGACCAGAGTGACTGGTTGAAACCTCTAGTTGAGAACAATCCCCTGTGTTGGAACAAAAGTTTGAACTTAAAACTTGTAAATTCCAACACAGGCGAACTTTCATGATTGTCTGTGTCCTCCTCATTTAGCGGGATTAATTTGGGAGAAATAGTCAAGTATATTGGGATATATTTAGATCATCAAAACCGAATTTCAACGTTCATATTTTCGGCTTTCTTTCATTGACAGATTCTGCCAGGTTCGCACAGGTTGGGCCGTATTGACCACACGTTTGTAGGCGGGCAGCAGGGAGCAGACCTGGAGCGGGTCAACCACGTCAGGAAGCTGTTCGACCTGGTTCACCTGGAACTGGACGAAGGTGAACCAAAAACGTAAAACACTTAGGTGCTTGGAATGGGAGCGACATTGTGAATAGTACAAAACATGGTGTTGGTATTTCAAGGTACAACTTTTGTTCCAACACAAAAGTTAAATGTTCTCACCTTAGCTTTCGACCAGTCAATCTGGTCTTCCTCGGTGGACTGTCCCAGTGAAACTTATCACGTGGCTTCTATTAAGTGTGACGTGACTGTTTTTTATTTCAGGCGACGCCTGCTACTTTCACAGCAACCTGCTGCACTGCAGTGGCCAGAACAACTCCGCTAGGCGGCGCTGGGCCATCGTCACCGCCTTCAACCGCGCCAGTAACAACCCCGTACCCGAGGAGTCCCACCCCTGGCCTCTGTACACACCGATACAGATGGTGGGTGAACTAAACACTGAAATCCTGTTATTGATCAAAATCTCAAAATTATAACTATTCTGACGGTTACGCTTTAGCATGAAGCAACATCGTGTATCTTTCAACGTCAACAAACAAATTTTAACTTTTTTTAAAACCCTGTGTGTCGCCTGTGTCTTGATATATGGATGGATGGATGGATGGTGGACGGACGGACGGATGGATGGATGGATGGATGGATGGATGGATGGATGGATGGATGGATGGATGGATGGATGGTGGATGGATGGATGGATGGATGGATGGATGGATGGATGGATGGATGGATGGATGGATGGATGGTGGATGGATGGATGGATGGTGGATGGATGGATGGTGAATGAACGAAAGGCTTTTACTGTAGTTTTATATATCTTAATGTTGAAAAATGGGAATTTCGTCTTGTGTATAATTTAATAGGATATTTCTCTCGTTGCTGTATAAAATACACCGAGTATTGCCCTTATTTCTCCTGTATATCCCTCCAGGTTCCGAATGACGCGTTGCTGAAATGCGAGAATTTCACAGACCTGAGCGGCAAGGCATTCGTGGACCCCACCACCGACAAGAACGTCAAGATCGACACCAACTCGGTCCAGAAGTAACTCATCTGTATCTGTATCGATATCAGTATAACCTGTATAACCGCCCTTCGGCGTCACACACCATCTTCGCAGGCACGCGGCGCGGCGACAGCTAGCTACATGTATATCACACTGGACGACTTTAATTCTTGTGATGATGCGCCAACTGTGGTTGGTGGCAATCGGTTCCACTCTACGATAGTTCTTGAAAAATACAAGTTTTTGAACACCTCAATTCTTGCTTAATAACTCTGATATTTGAAGGCATGGCTGTTTCTTGTTCTTTTCTGGGCCTTTCTAGGCATTCAGGATATGCTGTTCTGAAATGGGAAGCTTCTACTTCTACTTCTCTGTATTGATGATACCGAGACCATACATGAAATATGAATAAAGTTTTACGTGACTTTACTTCGGTGACTATTTGGATCCCTTTATGTAATATGATATTCATAATTCAATTCACATAAACCATGACCTCACGTAGTCAAATAAAGCGATGGGCACCTCATGTCGATTTTTCACTCAATTATGGGCAAAGAAACACGAAATTTTATTTACTTGTCCGTTCGATCATCAAAATAATAGCACCGGCCTGCAAGTCATATATATGGGTTCCATGGACCAAAGGTTTATTTACACTGGTGGTCAGGTCAAACTCCATGAACTATCCAGACAGAGCCGCAGCTCACCACTGCTGCAAGCCTGAATCTGTTTCTCGCAGGATCTGGAACACAAAAGAGGAAGCATGCCCACCTCAGGTTTGTGGTCAGTGATATCTTAACAACTGTAGGATCCCCGTCGTTCAACTCCTGACAACAGCCTCAGGGTTTATATGGGAGTGCTGTTTACATTGTGCCTTTCTAAATCAGTAAACCAATGCCATAGACATGGATAGACAATCAGAATCGGCCAAGGTACAGTTCTTTCACAGTCTACCGTGCCCATCCTTAAGGCGAGTGGTCTACAAGTCGGCTACAAAATCAACGGACAGCAGTTTCCATTGCAGATATACGTTTACAAAATGATATCTCTGTGTTCTAATTCTGATGGAATCTGTCTTTGCCAGACTATGTTTTCGAGAAGGGGAATTTCGACGTCACACCTGAGATCAAACGAGACTTCGAAGAGAATGGCTACGTCATCATCAGGTATGTATCTGTATACAAATGTATTGATATCGTAAGCAGCGTGACGGTGAATAGCCAAATGTAAAATGATCAGCAGCGGTATCATCATGGACTTCGTGTTAACTTTTCAAAGGTTTTATGTTTTATGCTGTGGATGTTTTTCATATTGAGGTCAATAACATTCTTCCGAATGTAAAGTACTAAAGTAGTCTTGCTATTTTAATTGAACCTCCTTGATATTTTACAATGTAAGGATGTGTGCTACAGTGTTTGAGAGATGTCAGCAGCTTGTCATTTTTGCATTTCTTGACCAACGCAGGGGTATTCTTGACAAACAGGAGATTTCCAAACTTCGCCAAGCACTAGAATTAGAGGAGGGAGTGAAGAAATACTCGTACGAGATTTCAGACGGCTCCGGGAGGAACGTTCGTCTGTGTATCTGGCGGCACCCCGGAAATGACGTCACAGGGATGATTGCCAGGATGGAAAAAACCGCGGGATTCATGGGAAAGGTCAGTTTCTTCCAGGTGCAGAGAAGCCAAAGTGATGAACATACAGTTCTTTGCCTTTTGATCTGCAGAATATGATAAAATTTTCTTACTTGGCATCTTGTTTTTATTCACAGTTTTTGGGAGGAGAAGTGTACCATTACAGCAGCAAGTTAATTCAGAAGGAACCGCACACGGGAGGACAGTTCAGATGGCACCAGGACTATGGGTATATAGGGCTATACTCACAAGTTTTTGCTTGTTCCCTTTCTAAAGGCATTACAGATTTTTAGCATCACACCCGCGCCTTTGCCAGAAAAAAATTGATAAATCTGAATATAATCAACAGTATTCTAATGTTTCCTGTCATCGAGTATTCACTCTGACAACAACCGTGAAATAAACTTTATCATTCAGATTGTCGAGGTGATGGTCTTTTTTCTTGATTCCTCACCAAAGTGTGTTACCTTTGACGGCGTTATTTGACACATGTACACCCAGTCACTAGTTGTTGGTTTTGCAGATATTGGTACAAGAGTGGCTGCCTGTTCCCCGACATGGGCTCCCTGTACATCGCTATCGATAAAACAGATACGGAGAACGGGTGTATGCAGGTGGGCCACATACGGATATGTTGGCGCGTAGATTCAGTTGCGCGCCCAATTGATCAGAAATGTTACTTTCCTTCCTAGCAAGCCTGTTAGTAACAGCCTGTTAGTAACAAAACTTTTAAAAGCATGTATACCAACACAGACGTTGAGCATTTCACATTATTCTCTGCTACCGATGTCTCATATTATTCAAACCATGCATCTCAGTGGACACCCATTGATACAGAAACGTGAACCGTAAGCGTACTATGAGAATGAAGTAAATGCCTGTCATTGTGTGAGTCTTTTCTTTTGTAGGTACTGCCAGGTTCGCACAGGCTGGGCCGTATTGAGCACACGTTTGTAGGCGGGCAGCAGGGAGCAGACCTGGAGCGGGTCAACCACGTCAGGAAGGTGTTCGAACTGGTTCATCTGGAGTTAGATGAAGGTGAATCCAAACGTGATATACATGTACATGCAAACGCCAATATATATGTGAAAGTACTGCCTCGTTGTAAGTTGTATGGAATGATCTGCTAGTCACAAGGTGAATTGAAAGAACAGTAAATCAGTTGCAATTGGGTTTACATTTTCGTTGCAGTTTTTTCTAGGCCAAAAGCCACATTCTTTTTGTCACCCACTAATAATTTATTGTGTTAATTTATCGTAATTGTATCTTGACAGCGTAGAAAGTTAGCAGTAACAGTTGATGGCTACTTGACAGGTGACGCCTGCTACTTTCACTCCAACCTGCTGCACTGCAGTGGCCAGAACAACTCCGCTAGGCGGCGCTGGGCCATCATCACATCATACAACCGCGCCAGTAACAATCCCGTACCCGAGGAGTCCCACCCCTGGCCTCTGTACACACCGATACAGATGGTGGGCCAATATGATTTTATAATAGTACTGTCGTCACAGAAGCTGATATGGACTGCCTTAAAAATCAATATTACCCAAAACTATTAGCCTGGGTGCCATCCTATTTGTATGCCGGGGCATACAATACCCCCTAAGAAATATTTGTTAGGGGGGAGTATGGGAGCCCCGGTATGCAAATAGGATGGCACCCAGGCTACAAAACTATTGAATGATGGCATGATATATATCACAATTTAAAAATTGCAAATGTGTTTAGAAAGTTATGGCCAATTTGCAGCTTTTACCTCCAGATATCGCGAGAAATGATCACAGCTTTTGAACTGATTTTTTTTCAGGTCCCAGACGACGCGTTGCTGAAATGTGAAAACTTTACAGACCTGAGCGGCAAGGCCTTCGTCGACCCAGCAACGGACAAAACTGTCAAAGTTGAGCCCAACTCGCTCCAGAAGCAGTGATGAAGGAAGAGAAATGTTTTAATTATTAATTAGCTTGGAATATATATATATATAGCAAAACACTAACTTTTCTTTCTGACAATAATAAAAATTTTCATGAGAAATTCAGAAGCAGTATTTACTTGTAATACGCATTAATTGTACTTTTTAACATTCCTTATTCATTTGTCAACAAAGCTATGAGTGCAAAATACCACACGGATTAATTATGTTGATACAACTACATGTACATATGTGTTACAAATACTACAGAGATCCGTCAATAAAGCTGCCATTCCTTTAATGTCATGATCCCATGGCTTTGCCTTTTTCATGATATTTCACGATATTTCATGAAAAATCACGTCATCATCTGCACAAGACTTTGCGCTGTCAGAGATTACATCAGTGACAACTTCGTCACACTGGCATGGACCTTTTTGGTTTGGTTTGGGTTTTCTTATTAATGCCCACGATCATGATAATGATCATTCTGGCATGCTCAGTTTCACCTGAGCGAAGTGAGGAAAGTCGTGTAAAGTGCCTTTCCCAAGGGCACAAGATCGGTGACCAGGTTCGAACTCGGGACCTCTTGGTTCTGAGCCGAACGCGCTAAAATTTTTGTCAACAACATCCAACTTTCCAACATTAATATTTGCCCAACTTGTCACATGCACCTGCTACATTTCCTAGACATTTCGCCAGGCTTATACTTGCCGCTGATTGGCTGACCCGACGATGACCCCTTCCCTCTGACCTCTCGCCACGCTCTGAGTGATTCATGATCTGACCGCCCACTCCCTCCAACGTGCACGCTCCAGGCCGGTAGTCTCTGCTTTTCCTCGCGTTACACAGTCAGCTCTGCAGTGACAAGGTAAGACAAGATATATAGCTGTGCTCTTGTGTGTTTGTGTACCATTTCACAGCCTTGTGGTGCTGGAAAGACGCGCGTGCACTGCCTGAGCGATGAGCTTGCAGAATGACAGCTAGGCGGGCCGACCCCCTGTGTTGCCCCGCCGGCTTTTCTAAAGGTTACCGCGTATATACCGGGGCACGATCGTGGTACCGATGGACGAAAATCACGTTTTATGAAAACGAAAATGATGCATTTTAAGAAACTCCTTTGTAAAATACTGTTACTGTATTTAAGGTATTGAAAATGTCAAGTGACAATGTTTAAATCACATCCATTCATTGCGGGTGAATTTGCCCAGTGCATGGTGCACAGTGTTGTTCCAGCTGTGCGCGCCATCTGACGTTAAATCATGTCGTGTAGACAACTTTGAGCATTGAAGGAAAGAGAATATTACCACAAAATACACAGAAAGAACGTTTTTGAGCTGAATGTTAGACAACGTTCTAACTTGTCATTTGTGTCAGCTGATTGACATAGGGGAATGTCCATTTCTGCCTCTTAAGGGGGCGGGGTCACGTAGGTAGCACTATTGTATGGTCCCTGGGTTTGATGAATGTCTTTTGCTGACAGTGTGTATTTGCCGCTAGCATGCCTCATGTTTGCCCAGACCCAGGTAGCACAAGTCATGTTGACCCAATGTTCAATTCTGCCAAGTTGGCGCAATAACCCTGATTTTAATCATATGCAAATACAATCTTGTAGTTTCTGTTTCTGTTTTGTTGCATTTTAAAGACAAATCATATTGCTCACTTGCTTGCTTCTGTATGCATGTGGCATTCTGCTTAGAACTTAAGATGATACTAGAGAGGCCGACATTTGCTTGGGAGCAAATACAGCATATTTCAGTCCATCTCCCTCCCACGCAAAAGTGGACTATTCCAAACTTACCCCAGTGTAAAACTGGCAAAGATTCTCAAATAAATGAATTATATAGTAGCTATGTAATTGAGATCAAAGATGCAAGAACAAGCACATTGTATCTCGAAAGCTCTACTAGTCTTATTACAGGTATGCAAATACTAACAATGATGAGATTTGATACATTTTGAAGGTCTTAGGCACATAAAATTGAATGTGTGGGTCATTCCGTACGACTTACGTGCAATGTGACCTCAGGTAACCCGCAATGGAACAGGTGTTCCATGGCCAACGGCAGATGGAACAGGCCATTCTTTAGATAGAACATGGAACGGGTATAGCACTTTTGGCCCTTTTTTGCTGAAAATAGCCATTAAAGTCCCCCAAATGAGTCATTTGGAAGTGGTGTATGCCAAATATGTGACTGCTATTCTGTAGACACATGTTCAAGGTACCCTTATACCGAATTTCAGATCATTTGGTTGTAAAACCAGGGCTCAGGATCCAAAAATCCATTTTTTGGCGAAAAATGCCCCAAAAAACCTTCATAAAAATTTTTCAAAGGCATGTATCAAAAAAATGAAAAAAACGCCTGGGGGTATTGGCTCACTCTACCTCCATGCCAAATTTCAAGTCATTTGGCTGAATGATGGCGGAGTTGAATCCCTTTGACTGTGTGGCAGGAGAAGGAGAAGAAGAAGAAACATCAGAGAACACAATATATTTCATCCATACCATGGTATGGACTGAAATATAATAAATAAGTGCACATGCATAGCAAGTACCTATTTCCTAAAAGGCCCAGAAATGTGTCGCGTTTGATTAAGATTCTTGGCTAAAAAAAATTAAGCTTCTGTAAGAAACAGGAGGAGACAGTAAAAACCCCACTGGTCTCCGGCCGGGGTTCGAACCCACGACCAAACCTGGGCACCAGTCCACAGGCAGACACTCTAACCTCTCCGCTAAAAGGTCTAGACCCGTTTGCCGGATCTGTTGGTAGCGCCTATAAACCCCCCACTGTTACACTTCTGTAAGGTCTGTGTGCAATACACCCTGACCCTCCTTATATAGGTACTGAACAGCCCCTAAGCCCTTGCCAGGTAGATTGTTTTTAAATCAAGGTTCTTGACTAAAAAATAAAGCTTCTGGAAAGGACTGTATGCACCCAGTCTAGACCCTCATTATAATGAACAGTCCTTAAGGCAGGTGTTGCAACCTAGGGGGGGGGGTAATGAACAGACACCCTCTGCATTTTTAAAAAATTGTCCTTGCCACACCCCTCCTGTAGTCAGTAGATAGATGCAGACACATGTCCCATCCTGACTCCCATTGCATGGGACATCATTTGATTGATCGGCGAGAAGCTATCCTGGAAATCATCTGCCTACTGCAATTACAGTTTGGGAGTCGGGAGGAGGTAAATTCAATTAACAATCTGCCCACGGTTGGCTTAGAAATGTCATTAATGTAGGTACCCGGAGCTCCCATGCATTTTGAACCAATTGATGCTATCTCATGATGTGATTTCTCCTAGGTTATATAGGACAACGATTTAACTTCATAACCTTTGAATGAAATGGAAAGTCATGGTATAGCTAAATGGTAGGTAGGACAAACCGTGAGCTGAATAATTTCTGTCTATAACATCTTGAGGCCTCTCTAAAATGTGTCATGCACGAACTATGATAAGACAGAACAGTCTTTCCAGGTGGGATGTCCGTACACTGCACTATAACATCCAAAAATAGTTTCATCAGGTTGATAAAGTATAGGATATAAGGGTTTCCTTTTACACAAGCAAATATTCCTACCTTGCTCTGAGACACACTGAAACGTAAGCAAGTTAGGAATATTTGGTTGTGTAAAAGAAAACCCTTATATCCTGCACTATAACATGAGCACCTCAGAGCTAGTGAATGGGCCTCTGATACTGAATGGCTGAAACTTGACAATGGTTGACTTATTTGTTCCATGTTCAGGCTTTACGTTAAACCTTGATAGGTACATGTTGTAGCACTAGCTATTTCCTCAATGGGAGGGTGATTTCAATGTCTGTCAAACATATCAATCTATAGCTATCCATTATCAAGGTGACAAGAATGTGCTACCTAAAACCATCCTTTTGTGAAAAAGTGGCACATTTGCAATGTGTGAGATTTTGTAAGATGTTTTCAATGTGTAAACACAGAATAGCATTTGACAAAAACGCCCAGTACTCCTTATCCTAAAATCAATATAGCAGCCTCCACCCTAGTCACTTATTTGTACACCAGCACCATTGAACTGTAAATTCAAATACTGCTTTTTAACTATACACAGTCATTAGTCTTTCTTCTTGTTACTCAGTGACAACCCTTAAGCAGGGCTCTAGCCAGCACCCATTTTTCCATCAATTGCAGGATAGAGAGTGAGTATGAGTGCAAGAAATTTGCAGTGTGTGACAAGATTTTTCACACCAATCTGTCAACCTTGATGGACAAAAATGACAAAAGTCTTTGGTGAGAATATAAAAACATCCAAGAAACCATACTCATGATTTGCCTTTCAAAATGTGGGGAAATCCAAAATTTGCCCCCAGGCCCCATTGACTGCTGTGTTACGCCGAAAGGTGGTTATACCGGCTATACAGATACAAATACAGATACAGATTGCAAGCACTCTCCCCCCGGGTCCAATTATGAACCTGGGCTGAAGGAAAAAAAAATGGAGCTACAATGTAGCTAGAGTCCTGCCCTGAAGTTGTGTTTTACCTTCCAGAAGCATGTCTGAAGCTAAGAAAGTTGTGCTGGCGTACAGCGGCGGTCTGGACACATCATGTATCCTGGTGTGGCTCATCGAACAGGGATTCGATGTCATCGCTTATATGGTAAGTTACAATATCGAATGTGTGGAAAATTTTGTAATAATGGTAGCTTTTCATTGTCTGATGTTTAGTACATACATGTTATGAATGACTTATAATTGTCAAATCAGAACAATAAATCCATCCATTTAAATCTACAATAATATACAAAGTTCAGATTGTAGTTTCACATTCTTGCATGTGAGTACATTGTAAATCTTCTTAATTGTACGATATGATCAGGAAGTTCACACTTTCATTTTTAGCACAGACCACATTGTAACGTTACATCATAACTTACATGCCTCACTTTTATTTTATTTTAAAGTCAATAGTTTTCCAAACACCACAGTCTGGTTTCTAGGTAGTTACTGAGACTGTTGCCTGCACTTAAGAGCAGCCAGCCATCATAAGTATGTTTAGTCAGTGCTTTTGTTTCATATGACTTAGCTATTTCACAGTATCAAAGTCCAGCTCAGAGCTAGAGAATGGGAATGATGTAATAGTTTGGCAAAGCACGTGCACTGTACAGAATTTAGAGTAGTTTTATACAAATTCACCAGGAATTTAGAAAACATTTAATCTGAATCTAGGGAACAAGTGTGATTTGAAAAAAATCTAGAGTTTGCATCCAGTTTGAATAATTTACACTTTTAAACCTGTCTTGAAAATAATAGATGATAAGAGTTTGGTTTCTCTTTTCTATGCTGTATAAATGTTGCCATTACAAAGTTTAACATGGTGTTTTTAAGAATGAAGCTTTAACTGTAAGTAAGATTAATGTAATCTCTGAACCAATTAAAGCCCCTTGAGACAGGACTGTCAAAACATGGATAAGACCAGTGTCTGTTTTGTGATTAGACTGCCCTGTGTGTAGATTTAGTAATGTGCAAATATTTGGCTACCTTCCTTTGTAACCCGTTTATTACGTAATAGTGAGTAGGGAAAGTTGTCAGGTATGTATACAATGGGATTACATTCCCATTGGAGATAAGAAACCACACACACCCCGAAGAATGTAGAAACTTTTACACGCCTGCACCATAAGAATGTACAGACTTTTACACCTGGGTGAAGAGTCCAAACTTCACACACAAGTTACAATGTAATTTTATTTAACCTGAAAATTTTTTCTTCATCTTTGAAATTTGACATTTTTGTTCTACTATGCTTAAGATGGTTCAAAAAGATAATAAAAGAGATGATGAACAGGAAGAACAGTTGATTTTTTTTTCTGCTGTGTCTGTAATATATCAAGAACTTTGTATGTCTGTAGGCTGATGTCGGGCAGGAGGAAGACTTTGCAGAAGCCAAGGAGAAGGCACTCAAACTGGGGGCCAAGAAGGTAGGAGACTAGTGCCTCTTCTTTCACAATCATTTTCAAGCAAAAAAAACATAACAAGTAGGTTGACACGCTTACAAAAGTATCTTCCCCAGCTTGCTAAATCATGATACTTCTGTTAATTGCAGGTGTTGTCTGATGCAGCAATTAATGATGATTCGATCTACATTATTAATTGACTATTGCCCATGCGTCTATCATTAGAACATTCCGTGATACATGTATGAAATCAGAGGTGACTGTCTAGCAATCCCTTGGAAATCCTGGATGAAAATACTGTTTTTGTTAGTTACCTTTGATGTACCTTTGATATGTGATTCATAATACTGAGTCTTATTAGCCTGCAAAACTTCATGTAATTTGATTTTGTCTTTTCAAAATGTTTTCTGCAAATTACAGGTGAGTATTTCCAGCCCTGTAGGATAGTAGTCTTGATTTGACACACCCCCTATTCCTAACCTGTCATTTAATGCCTGTGATCATCTGCTAACCTGTCATTTAGGTGTAATGATTTATGAGGTAGTTTTTTTCCATTGTCGGCAACTTTGTCGGCAACTTTGTCAGCAACTTTGCTAACCACTTTGCAGCTTAAGTAGGTTATAAGGTCCTCAAGCAATCACTGCATAGTCGTGTCCTGCATATGGTATGATGTTAAAAATCATTCAAACTCCTATTTGAATTTGAATCTCATTTCCAAGATACCAATCACTCTACATTGCCATGTGATGCCCTTCCATTTATTCTCATTCTAGCCAACGGAAATACAATTTGCCAGAAGACCTTCCTTTCCTTATAAGACATTTTCCCAATGCCCCCTTGTGGTCCCCAGTTAACTGTAATGTCTGATAATAATTTTGTAAAGCAGTCATTCGGATTATCCATCTAGGCCTTGAATTATAGAAATATATACATCGTCAGGCACATGAACAGTTGTGTATTAATCAGTATTGTAATGCTCATATGTGTACGCACATTCTACATGCATCCTTCATAAAATCAGTATTCCTCTCATTCCCAGTAGATGTGAGATGGGGTGTTTTGGAGCCTCCTGAGCCCCAGTCTTTCATTGATATTCATGAATGTGGGAGGAAGATCCACCAGTATCTATTCCAGACAGCAGCGCAAGTTGTCAGATCGTTAGATACGTTGATTGTGTCACGCCTGGGAGTCGTGACCTTCCATTTAATTTTGCTACTGAGACAGCCTTCTACCGTGAAGTTAAAACAAAGTATGGAAGAAGATTTTTTATTGGTGGTTTACAACTGAACTTCAACCAATAAATGTGATGTCATAAAATTACGGTTTGTTAATTCTCTAAGTGCCACAACATTTTTCAGTAATCCTTTAAACCATGAGTATTCAAAAGTGTGCCTATTGAATTGTCGGAACAAAAAGGCCCCAAAGGGTTCTCCTACACTTCAGCATTTATCATGGTTGTCAGAATAATTCCAAAGGCTTGTAAATGGAATGACCTTTCCTGGGACTGGAGCAGCTGGAGAGGCAATAAAATGCCACTGATGACGTCAGAAACATCTGAGTCTGTCTGGAACAGTTGTGTGTTCTGTCACATATCTTACACACACAGGTGCCTGGATATTTATTGGCTATTCATGTCTGACAGAAGACTTTACCTCAGATTTCTTTATCTAATGTTTTAATTATGGTCCATTAGGACAACAATATTTGATTCGTTATCTGATCATGATAGTTCTTGCACCAAAGAAGGATTGGACACTCGGTATAATAAAACTCTGTAATTCGGTTAATTATGTGAGCGGCTACTACGTTCCTTGGCCGGAGCACATCGGCAGAACATGCTGGGACCTAGATTTTTCACGGATCTTGTAGGATGTTTGGTCAACCATGCATCAAAACTTTGCAGACGATATCTTTTCCGATGTAACATTTGAAAAGTACTGTATATATAGGATGTCACCCTAAAATATGCAAGTACGACCTTAAAAGCAATGTTCTGACAAAATTCTATGCACAATATGTTACCAGTCTTGCAAAAGCACAGTACGTTCTGCCGACATGCTCTTGGGCTGAAACTCCAGTCCTAATTTTTGTTTCGTGTATTCTCAATAATTTTCAGGTTTTCATTGAGGACTTGAAGAAGCAGTTTGTGGATGAGTACATCTGGCCGGCTGTCCGTGCTAACGCCATCTATGAGGACCGCTACCTGATGGGCACGGCCGTCGCGCGCCCGTGTATCGCCAGACGCCAGGTCGAGATCGCCAAACAGGAAGGCGCACAATTCGTGTCCCATGGTGCAACGGGCAAGGTATGTCTTACCAATATGAGCGATCACTGTTTTTGCTGCAGTGCAAATTATTTTCAGACATATATTATGCAAATTATTGGCAGCAAATCACCCAACTGTCAGACACTTCTTGCCTACCATTCAATGGCTGTGACGTCATGCCAATCACTATATAATTGATTGCAAAAGAACTCAAGAGCTATGTTGATTTGTCATTTTATTAGGTCACATGCATTTACCGGTAATAGTACCTTCTTGGCTTTTGATTCTTTGATGCAAATTAGGTGCTAAATAAGTCATCTTTAAAATTTCTGGTTTTTGCAGTCTTGATATCTGCTGCTACAGACTTTTAATCAGATGCATATATGTATCTCCTGCAGGGCAATGATCAGATTCGGTTTGAGCTGACCTGCTATGCTCTGTACCCTGGAGTCAAGGTGAGTCCAAGGTTAAAGGATATTGAACAGTAATATGATTCTCCAAATAGAAATTGATGTGCCAGGTTCTGAGGGTGGTTCAAGTGTCAAAAGCAGAGTGCGTAGCTGAAAGCCTTTAAGTTAATTGAAGTATGTTCCATGTTTCATTGATGCGGAATTTTAACTTCTCATTATCCTTACTGAGACTGGGATCCCAGGGGATATTCTGACTGTCATCTTTGATATGGAAGAGTCTAGTTGAATATTAACTACATCATCTCATCTCACATATGGTCTATTCATCTTGAGTGCTCAGAAATTATGCTGGAAATACTGTTGCATGATGTCTGTATTACCAGCAACAAGTACTACATGTACATGAATGTGCTCTGACTGCTTTCTTTGTAGGGTGAGATGCACACAAAAAAAAAGAATTATTGTAATTTTTCTTTCCCTCTCTCCTTGCACTCCACAGATCTATGCTCCATGGAAGATTCCAGCGTTCTTTGAAAGATTCAAGGGCAGACTTGACCTGTTTGAATATGCCAAGGTCAGTTGTAGTTAAATCAGCACAGTCACATAGAAGGCATGAAGGGATGGCAATAGCATAACTTTACATTAATAGTAGTTGTGGACAGCAAGAAAGTAGTATCCTTGGTTGTTAAAATTCCAGTCACTTGCAGTACTAGTAGTTTGAGTTGCCTGTCTTATAAAATGGGTTACAAATAGCAACAGTAAACAATAGACAAAAGAAATCAACAGTACTTCTTAACAATTCACATTTCCCTCCCAGAAAAACAACATCCCTCTCCCCGTGACCCCCAAAAGCCCCTGGAGTATGGACGCCAACCTCATGCACATCAGGTCAGCAAACTATGATTACTGTCAACTTATGTTTAATATATAAAAATTTGAGTTATCATTCACTCTCTATATGCAATAATCATACATTATAGCAAGAAATTGTCGTTACGCTAAAGCACTGATCAGTTATAGTGCCCTAAAGTTAGCCAATTTCTATGTTTTGTACATGCCAAAATCTGGACAAATGCCCTGAAAACTTCTTTGGCCCGTTGCCATGGCAACAAGGGGTTCTGAGCAAAAAGAAAGCTATTCTGAGGGGTTATGTACCAAGTACTATCACTGTGCAAAAAATGACCCAAATCGATTTTTTGACCGGTGCCACCATTGTTTGATCCTTACAGACATTCGCTCTTAAAATGTAAGGCATATTTTTACATTACATCCTGTCCTTCCTTTCCAGTTATGAATCTGGAGTACTTGAAGATCCTAAGGTAAAACCATATAACCTTAAAATACTTTTTAATAAATATCATTACCTTCATTTACAGCATCGTAAAAAATCACCTACAGACAAATACACGTTGAGTAAAAATACCACTCACTCACTATCTGGTTTAACATCTCAGAATGCCCATTCCGACTACTGTTGGGTCCGTGTATAGTAGATGTTTTGATGAATGAATGAATCTTTATTTTAATGACTGTTGTCCCTCCCCAGGCCCATGCTCCTAAGTCCCTGTACCAGATGACCACAGACCCGGTGGAGGCCCCCAACACTCCGGAGAAACTGGAGATTGAGTGGAAGGATGGTGAGGAGTTTGAAGCCTGCTACCAATGTTTACTGTGAATTGCAAAAGTAGTGATTCGGTTGTCTCTCATTATCTCTGATGGTCTCACCTGTATATTTGATAACTTTATGATGCTCCTGTGTCTCTCCAGGTGTGCCGACCAAGGTGACTAACCTGGATGACGGGACTGTGAAGGATGATTCCCTCGAACTCTTCCTCTACCTGAACCAAGTGGGGTACGTAATTGACACCATACAAAATATACCTGTGAAACAAAAGCATCTTCACGAAGAGAAGGAACCCATTAAATGATGTGGCTCTGTCTTACACCAGTATTGCCAGCATTGGTTTAAATAAAGTCAGCTAAGAAATAATCATCTACTTGGAACTCTATTTCTGTGACCTGCAAACGCTACCTGCCTTTAATGATATGTAGCTCAAAGTAATAGAATTTAATAGTTTGTATTGCAATGATCTTAAGCTGTTAATTTTATTTTTATCCCTGTACAGTGGAAAGCATGGAGTTGGACGGATAGACATTGTGGAGAACAGATACATCGGCATGAAGTCTCGAGGTCAGTGCTGATTTTTCCCTATATGCATATACTGTACCTTTGATGTATGGGGCTAAATAGATCTGTATTTTGCCATTTTCATCAATTGTCCTTCTGTGTGTCAGAATAGATGACATGTCATAGCATAGTGTAATCATTAGTGTTACATCTTACTTACTTACGTGATCATTATTGATAGAAATACGTACTGGTAGTTTGGAAAATATGGAGGTTATTTATTTAAACATACCTGTACTTTTACAGGTGAAATGCCTGTACTGTGAAAGCTGGTGTTATGCCGGAGGGCAGTTATACTGGCTATATACCAATACAGATACAGTATGTTACATTAAAAACCGTTCCCACCACACAGGTATCTATGAGACTCCAGCTGGCACCATCCTGTACCACGCTCACCAGGATATAGAACTCTTCACTATGGACAAGGTCAGGGGCAAGACATGGAGTCATACTTGTAGCTTATTTTACATTAAAGAGTGAGGCTTTTCAGCAAAAGTTTGTCAGAAACTACATTTGAGAATGCTCCCATCTTTGAACTTGAAACTGCATCACAAATACAGGAGCAGAAAGGTCTTTCATCTCACACTTATATATCATGTATCATGTACCTTCTATTGATGATATATATCAGTGACTCAGAGGTGTAGAAGTGTCAATAAAAGAATCTAAGGCTATATTTCTACCAAAAAGGATTTTCTGGCCTTAAGCCAGCCCACCACTGTGTATTGCAGTGCTGTATAGTACATTGCAGCTGTTAATTCTGTATTTCCCACATATAACCAGGAGGTGCGCCGACTGAAGAGAGACCTCGGGATCAAGTTTTCTGAGCAGGTGTACAATGGTGGGTCTCTGTTCTGTTCTAACATTTTGTACAAACAAACTTTCCAATTTCTACTGATTTCAAGCATCAATTCTTTATCTCCAAGTTACCGTGTTGGGACAAGTCAGACAATTTGATATAACAGTACTACGAATCAAGTGTTTTTTATTATGATCCTGGCAATACCTTCAGTATTTGCTATTTATTGCTGTGTTTCATTAGATGATTAATCTATAATGTGTGGAGGACATCAGCTAAATTTGCTGCCAAGTGTTCCACCATGTGTTGCAATTTGAATAAAGTAGAATTTTCTCCCTCCTGCCCAGGTATGTGGTACAGTCCTGAGTGTGAGTTTACCCGCCACTGCATCGCCAAGTCCCAGGAGGGCGTGGAGGGGAAGGTTCAGCTGTCTGTGTACAAGGGTAACGTCTACATCCTGGGCAGGGAGTCACCACGCTCACTCTACAACCAGGAGCTGGTCAGGTGGGCAGGGTCCATCCAGTTTGTCTAGTCTACATTAGTTTGTTTAACTTTTTTTTAAATGAACACAGTGTGAGCCTGATGGATCCATCGTAATCAATGATGTTCAGCTCACACTGCAGCAGATGGTTTTGACTTACATGTGTAGTTATAGGGAGTATCAAGCGTAGGCAAGCTTAACTTCAGTGACTCGATACTGTTCTCTGAGTTAACTCAACTTTTTGCTTTCTTAAAAATTAAAGGATCTAGGCTGATTTTTTGTATTGTTTCAAAATGAATATACAGTACTGTACTAAGCAAAGATCACAAAATTGCAACTAGAGAGTAATTCTATGTATATTATATAATATATAATTGTACTCTTTCATTCCTCAGTTTTGATGTCCAGGGAGACTATGACCCAACTGATGCCAACGGCTTCATCAAGATCAATGCTCTTAGGTATGTACATGTACCAGTAGTATAGCAAAACAGCATTTCCAATGTTTCTGCCAATTTTCAGACTTACTCCTTTATTACTTACAACTTCAGTACAACATTTTCTCACATTATGCTTACATACGAATTGTACATGTAGTTCCCATTTACAACTTTTATTCAGATATATATGTATAAACGTAAGTATGACCAAATATTTTCCGTTCCCTCCATCTTGAAACCCCAGGCTGCAGGAGTATGCACGCCTGCGCTCCATGGAGGCAAAATGAGCGCACTTTGCAGCAGCTCCACCTGCTGGATCCTACAAACAGTGCAACAGTCAAGTTACAACAATACAAACAGTAGAAAACCTTATTTTACAACTGGTGTAATTTCTGTAACAGTTGAAGTTACAGTGTATTTTTGTGGAATGTGCATCTAGTGTTGTCCATGTTAATGTAGACAGTGAAATGTATTTTGTGCATTGTAGACTTCCATCCTCCTTACCAACAACTTGTCATTGTGGTAAGATACAGATGTAGAGGATGATGTGACTTAATGTTACATGTGACCATGGAAGAAACTCAATGAAATAACCAAATGTCATATACAAACACTACACAAGAAATATTATGAGACCAACCAAAAGTCACTTAATGAATTATAATGATATACAGACTATAATAAGGTGTTGGTGGTATTCACACTATCTGGCACAAACTTCTCAAGCTAATACTACTTAAGTGGACCAAGTACAATCTACATGTATGGGTGTGATGGAATCTAGAACAAAGAATGGAACAGTAAAATTAGATGCACCACAAAAGGCAATGCATCTGTCTTGTTTACTACCTGACAGTAGTGTTTTTTCCTCTCTTCAGTATATTCCCTTAGGTTGAGTGTAGTATACTATATGCTACCCATAACTTAGCAGCAGAGGATTTGTGACAGAAATGGGTAGATAGGCAAACATTAGGATTTAGCCTCCCAACATCTGCTTGGAGATATTATAGAACCAAGGTCAAACATGGCAGGATATAACATGTTACCATGAGAAATTCGACCTTGGGCAGATGAACCCACTTCAAGATTATTATTTCGCAGACATGAATTCTGTTTATCAAAGTCTGAAAACAGGGTAAGGCAATGATGAAGTGCATCGATCAAAAGCTGCTCCTATCAGTTCAATAAAGAACTGCACCATTAGAGCAGTGATTTCTTTCGCCGCAACGGGGGGCTTTTGATCCATGGCGATTTCAACACCAGGTGCCTCACAGAATTCTCCAAGCAGAGGTTTGGGTTTTGAGGCATTTTTGGTGTATTTTTAGGCTTTTTTATCGGGGTTTCTTTTCTGCACTGGAAGTTTTTCACCTAACCCAACATGGCTGCCCAACCTCATACGGATGCACCTATGACTGCCGTGATTTTTTGGCCGCCACGGGGTGATTTTGATTCATGGCGATTTCAATACCAAGTGCCTTCTTTGCTACGTGTTTCTCTTAACTTGATGGCAATAAAAATGGAAGGGTTTCAGAGTTAAGAATTTGACCTAGGAAATATGTGCCATAAATTGCATTTGTAGAAACAGGATTTCTCTCCGTCCAAAAGCTAAAGAATTTATAATTAATTTAAAGATGAGAATGAAATATTGTAGCCTTCTGGAAGAAATATATAAATGGGGAGCTGGAGAGGTAGTCTTTATATACTAATAGTCTTTATATACTAACTAACTAACTACCATTATTGGGGAATGTGTGCGATCTCTCCACCCAGCACACATACACAAGCTTAAATCCTGTCCCAGTTTTGAAGCCGCCCTTGAGGTAATACAGACCAGCTGTTCCCAAGTTCACTTTAGTGTGTCAGTCTGACATTGTCATTGGAGTCGGTGTGCCAAATCTGCATCTTTGCACACGCAACAGAGCGACAGCGTGTACTTTAGTCAGCTATCCACGTCCTCTCACTGGTAACTCTGTCGAGCACCCGTTGCCTTAGCCAGTAACGTAACCGTTGCACTGTCGATCTAGCCTCTACCATGCGGCTGGAAAGAGTAGAAATTTACCAAATAGGAAGATAACATGCCAGGGGAGTTGGTTCGCTAGAGATCATTATGTTGCACCAGGGTGCGGCAAACTGTTCATATTCGCACCAGGGCCCTGGTACAGATAGATGCCCGGAAAGCGTTTAGTACCTATAGGCTACATGTACATGTAGGTGAAGACGTCATGTTGTTGTTGTCGTTGTCGTCCTTGTTATTGACGTCATCTGGTTTGTGCGGGGGTTCATTCTGAGGTCAAACAGGTAAGATCTCACCTGTACTGTAAGGTTCAAGGACAGGGGAGATACCTCACGAGTAGCATCGAGGGTCAAAGACACGGAAGGTCTGAAATTGTACATTTGAGGGTCGTGAAGCTGTCGTCTGTAAACGTCTAGACAGTTTTTAAAAGGTCTGACAAGGGTGTCTGACTCAGCATTTTCCGGCGCACTTCAGATTTACGTTTCTCCAAGAAGAAAGAATGTGGACACCCAATATTAGTAGCTTTTTCATCGATGGTTTTCTCTCCGCAATAAGAGAAAAATTCTCGGACACTCACCATTTTGCTAAAAGAAACTCGTACTTCTGTATTCTACATTCAGGAAAACCACCTGTAGATGTTTTCCCTCCGTCTGTTTTTCACATAATCAGACACAGGCGAGCTGATTGGAAGATCCCCGAGAGTGTTTCCCGGCGCAAAGGTCAGAGTCGGACCGGAGAGTTGGGAATCTCTCCTCGGATCTGTCAGACGAGACCGCGTCTCAGTCAGTCCGCACGCGACGCTCCCAGAAGGTAGGTGTTCTTCTCAGTTTATCACGTTGTCTTCACCGGGGTAGAAATAGGAAGGCTTGGACCTATAGTTGTTTTTTAGTAGAATGCATGTGATATATGGATGGCAATGAGGCACTTCTGCGGAACATGTGCGTTTTAGTAGGATATTTACAAGACCGGATGTGTTAGGAAGTTTCTTGCCTTAACTGCACATGGGATTAGAACCAAGGCGTCTAGCGTTACGTCGACTTCCTCTGAGTCTAATATCATATGGAATATATTAACCGTGAACGTTAGATGTTCGAAATGTTTCTAACAACCTACCAGCATCAGAGAAATTGTTGATTTCTTGTTATCTTTGCGATGTTGAGCCGAACGAATAGCACACCCGGTAACGACAGCGCTACTGTAGTTTCCACCTGACTAACAGCGCGGGTTACGTTCAAATTAACAGTAAAATTTAGCCACTGAAGAAGGAGAATGATTGGTCAGGTGAGTAGTTTGGGCACCGTAGAGTTCGTTTGCCCGGGTATCCCGCCGCAGACTGACTCTCCTGCCCAATTATTCTTGCGTTTTTGCCGAATTCTACGTTCCGTACCCCAGCAGGAAGGCCTGGTGGAGGCTAAGGGAGCGCCGTCCTGCAGTACTGTTCTGCCCGAGGCGCGTGCCAGGTGGCTGCGCGCCAGCCAGGCTTTTAGTCGGGCCATTTGGCACTAATTTGAAGGTTATTAGGAACCAAAGCTAAAGCGCGTGTAGGGCGATTTCCTGCAGGATCATTCATTTGAATGTTGGAATATTCTAACTACGCCAGAGAAAAGATTTACTGTTTTCTGCATACCTTCATTTAAAAGAAGTATTATTCTCAATCTATTTTCGACAATCTAACTTGATGATTTGACGTTTTTACTGAAAATTACCGCGCGAAAATCTGTAGGGGCTTCTGATTTCGGACATAAGAAACTTGAGGAATCGTTCATTCTTTTCAGTAAAGAATATCCTAATCTGCTAGCCAAGCGATTGATGGATTATGATGACTATTTAACTTGAATCAAAAATGTACAGCTACAATAGTTATACTGAAGACCCGCTGCGCGGTAAAGTAGCTAGGATCACTGTGTGACCCTCATCACGAGAACGTCGTCCTCCATATTGAGACCACCGATGACAAGCGAAGGACGACCTAGATTTTACCTAGATTCTAAAAATAGCGATTCCTTCTATTTTAAAAACAAACAAAACACAGGTGTCATTCGTCATTCCTTGACAAGATTATTTATTCAACCACAGATAGTTCTTGCCTGATGCTATTTTTGTCTGCTGACCTAGCAGACTTCGTGATGACCGACCGTGAGAAGCACGACTGTGGAGAATCTTCCTGTCAAAGTCCTCAGAATACCTCGACTCTTCAAGCCTTTGTAGGGCACACATCATCATCATAGTGGCACATTCAAGTAGGAAAGTCCACAGCCCCAATAGAAGCCGTTCAAAATGCTCTTCTTTGATTAAAACCAAAAAGAAACTTATTTCTCTGGAGCGCTACTTTGCATTAGATGATAGGCAAGCAAAGAAAAAGAAAGAGTTATCCTACTCGCTCTCGGAAAAAACCCCCGACACAGACTCTTTTGAGCTAAATTGCCACCATGCTACGTGATTTGATGCGTGTGGCACGACTTTCAACCGGTTTCTATTCCTATATTCTATGTCGCTTTTGTAATTACCACAAGAAAGAAAGAAAGTCCAATTGTTTTTCGTCGTGCGTACACAATTTCTACTTACTGACGCGCGCGCCGGTTACTTAAAAGTCCCTTTCGGCCGAATAGAGACACGACTCTCCTTGTACTTCTAATTCCCTTTCGGCCGAGGCACGACTTTCGGGCGGTTTCCATTTCTGTGCGGCCTTTGTAGTTACATTTTCCACCAGTCGACCTGCACGATTCTCGTCGTGCGCAATTTAATGACGCTATTAAGATATAATCCTACGCTGTCCCTCCATCTGGGAACTATGTAATGCTTTATTGGCCTTATTGTTCACTCAAGTTCCACCCATACGGGCTGACGTAAACGTCCTTCGGCAGTGGCATTTCGGTGTATCATTCACGTCTGGTATCCAGGTAACCGTTACCTAAGAGACTTGCCTCCAGTCAGACTCCATTCTTCTCTCTAAAAGGCACGCGGAACGACTTCCCTAGTCTGAATGACGTTCATTAATTTCCGTACGTCAGGAGTATTAAAAAATGTATCCGGGCCAGGAGAAGTCGCATGACTCACGTCTTCCTAGTATTTCCCTTCTTCCTGTATTTTCCCATATATGGATGTAGGAAATTAGTTTAAAACAGCGAAGCGATCGTGGATGGATCAGATCAGATCGGGTCCTCATCCAGACTCCTCCAGCGTATCACACTCAGCCTGCAACTTGCACCGACATTTGAGGAGGAGGCGGTTCACTCAAAACATTGGTGAGCTCGAGCGCGTCAATCTTCTGGTAAGGTTCAATGCCCTACCGTTCTCGCCCGGTGTCTTTGGTGTCGTTATTTACGCTTGCCTGTCTCGGTACCTGTCGTCGCGTGGATACAGCCCGTCTCCGTCACCGTGCCAGTAAACACACACTCTATCTCCAGACATCCTCCGCGGGAAAGCCCTCCTGATATCCATGCCCTACCGTAACCTCTGAGTAAGCCAGGGGACGTTTGTAGGGACTTGAATGATTGCAGGTACAACATGATGCCAAATGCGCCTCGTGTAAGATACTAGAACTTTTTTTGCAGCGTAAAGCCAATTTTCTTGCTGTGCGGGACATGTTTTAAGTGATGTTGCTTTTTTGTTACAGTCCAGCGCCTCTCAAGAAGAGCAACCAACCACTTCAGGCTGAAACTGGTCGAACCGGGCTACTTTGACGTCAGGCGCGGCCCGTAGCACTCTCAGTTGTTGTTGGACGCTATCAGCGGGTGAGTAACTCAGAATAGTGACGTCATGTGCACGATAAGGAATTCTATATAAGAACGACGGTTGTATCTTGGATTTTAGTTGCTGTTAGCGTTTAGCTGTGACCAACCGTACTGAGGTCTTGTCCATTTGCGTCTCGGGGTGGATTCTTATCAACCTCGATCCTCGGTAAGATTTCTTTTCTGAGCTATAGTTTAAGTGGATTTAGACGGGTGGCTATATATTATCTACTAGTATTTTATATGTGAACTTAACAGAAAATTGATTATACTGTATTCTTATGATTCATTTTTTATGTACGTGTAGCTTTCAATGTCGTGACTCTTCAGCGGCAACCTGCCTGCCCGCGGCATGCACAATTAGGTCATTTACAATGCACAATTAGGCAATTTTCTACAGAACTATATATACATACTGCTCCGCCCAGTACAAATCATACTTAAGTGGCCTATATTTCGGTCCATTTTTAACCTAATCTTTCCACACAACTGCAGGTATAATCTAGTCCGGTCTGACGTAGGAGAACAAAAGATGTCGTTTTACCCACTTTACCCGCTGTCTCTGAGCTGGGGGCTGTTCGCAGCGTTCATCTGTCTGATATTACTGTAAGTACGTTATTGTAAGGGAATCAAGTACATACTAACTTAGTTGTGTTGCACTGCCAACCAGATTTGTTTGATGCAATTGTACAAGCTTTGTATGGAATGTTATAATGGAAGAAGAGCATTGAATGTTGCGAAGAGCTGTCGTATACTGGCCCAACGCACTTGGCAAAACGCACTTCGGAGAAAGCGACCGGAAGGTCTGATGACAGATTGATAAAAACTACAAAAGGGCCTTGAACCACGTAAATTTTTCTTTATACTTAGACGATACAGAGGCCTATTCCTCCTAGCTATAGGACCCGTTATAAACTATTTTCTTTATGATTATGACAGGGGTTAGTAGAAGTATACGGAAGGAAGTCTTGAATACCGGAGCCCTGGTCGTTGTCAAAAAAGAAATACCTTAGCCGATAGTCATCGTGCCAAGTGCTGAACAGGCAACAGTGTAGCCGACGTACGGCAATCTTTTACGGTAGAACCTCTCAGACTGTAGAAGCTCGGAGCTGTCGTCTCTGAGATGTGTCAGCTGATAATCCTTGGCTTTCAAAAGTCGTGTCGGCGCCGGCCGGTGTGCCGTGGCGTGCCAATGCCTTGTAAACCGATCCGTCGCCGCCGCCCGTTTCTCACAAAAGTCAAGGCGCGCCTAGCACGCTAAGTACCGGCATACCCCCGACCGCACTGTTTTCACAATTCGCCTTTGGTGCGAAACGGTGTACCGTGGTATGCAGATTGGTGTGATTGCCTGGAAAATGTACATTTAAGCAAGGAAAGCACTTGTACAGGTCCATAAAAAAGTGTGAAATATAAATGTAGTCGTGGGTATCTCTTGCTAGCCTGGGTGCCATCCGATTTGTAACGGCAACCCCGAAAAAATCTAATCAGTAATATCTTGCCTTTGACACAATAAAATGGTCCCTTGAATTGAGAGAAGACAGATGTGAGTGCACCATTGTCTCTCTGTAGCCCCCGGTGTTCCCGAACCCTTACATAAGCGTGATGGATGTTGTGCACGTCAGCTGGATTGGAAACCGTGCGACAAACGCCGATTCCGCACACGTATCCGAGCTCTCAGCAGCTACCTGTGCAGCTCCTACAGGTCATTGACTCGTGCACACCCCACAAACGATCCCCTGTTACAGGGCCTCAAGTTCATTGCCTCCAGCCAAGGTCTGTTGCTCACCGCAGGTGATAGTAGTTTTGGAAGGTGAGAGCATGCACGTGTTTTTGATGAAAGGTCATCGCACGACTCGGGATGGCTCCAATTTTCCGGTCAGAAGCCTTGAACCGCGCCGCTCGTGTTTTTAGATGAACGGCATCGCGCGAAATACTGTTTACAGTAGAGTTGAGATAACCGTGAGATACCTGAAGGGAAAAGTTAATTACGTACCAGTGCAGTGCACGTTTTTCCACAGTGTCCGGGCATAGACCCCGGACTACCCTTCCTTCTCTCATGACCTCAATGAAAACCGGCCTACAGGCCGATTTGAGCTTCTCGTTGTTGAATAAACATACCAGGCATCGCGAATCGCTGGAAAGATAGTAGAAATTGGCCGAAATAAAGGATAGTATGCCATGGGAGTTAGCCTGCCAGAGAAGATCTGCAGTGTTTGGGAGAGGCTAGAATAAACAATGGTTCAAACAAAATGACATGACGTGCTGTTTACATCAGTGTCCAGAAGGTGACAACAGACGCATTTTTCATTCATTTACCAGTAGTCGATCACATTCAGGTCTGTGGCCGATTTTTCGGGTGTTAACGGGTTGGTATTTTTAGATAAACATATCCCACAAACTTACATGTAGTTCCTTTTCCCACATACACTACCTTAACGCAGTGGGTTTTTCTGGGCATAGGCTAGATGCATTGTTTAATCTCCCTTGCAACTGTCGTTTTCTATATGTGACATTCAGCTCAAACGTTCAACGACGCCCTCAAACGCCACATTTCAAAATTTGTGCTATCAGACTGCAAAAGCATAGCCTGGTTACCAGACCTAGCATCGCTCCCGACTCCTACATCCTCTCCTCAGATTTGCGTAGAGGATGTAGGACTCGGGAGCGCTGTAATAGGTCTACCAGGCTACAAAATCGATCATCTTCAACTGAAAAACACCCGACGTGCCATCAGGCCGTGCCGTATGTCACGTAGCGGCCAGCTGGATGTTCGTGGCACAGATTTTTGCTGAAGAGATCCGAGAATGACTCCGACGGCCTATTATAAACATGTCAGAAGTGCGACATTATCCGGTTTGCTGTGACTAGTTTGGGGCGGCGCCCAATCCCACAGGACCGTCCAAATTCTAGGCTAGCGGCGACACAATGCTCGGACCTAGTGTTAGGGGGAGCGGAGGGAAGTTTTGAAGATCTCACGCGGCAAGTTTACACAAGAAAACTGACATATATAGCAGACAGAACAACAAAAGTGTGCCTTAACTGAATGAGCATGTATAAACTTGAATTATAACATCTCTTTTTCGCAGTGCGATTTCTTCCTTGCTGACAGTTACATATTTTATGCAGATTTTAACTGATTCTTTAGAGTATGTTCTCCGGTAGTATGTGAAGTTCAGAGGAATACAACATTATTAACAGAGACCTTAACTCCGCAGGTATGGGTACCGCACCATGTCCGTGCTACAGAAGCTGGGCGTGCCGGGCCCCACCCCGCTGCCCTTCGTCGGAAACCTCCTGACCTACCGGAAGGTACGTGTTAGTCCCGTGCTGCGAGAGATAACGAACAGAGCTGTTTTCAAAGTCGGTGAAAAATTTTTCCCCAAGTATTTTGTTGTGAGTAACGGCTATAGTCATCAGAAATTCTGATTTTTTTTCCGGCTTTTTTTTTCTCAGGGACAGAGCGTCGCCTTCAGGGAATGGCGTCAGAAGTACGGCAGAGTTTACGGGTAAGAATAACTTCCATCCATAACGTAAAATGTAAAATACTACGTATCATTACTATGCAATGTAAATGTCCTCAATACGAACAATTACCAGAGGTAGCTTTTGTTTAATGTCTTGGGCTTGCACACGGTAAGGTAAAATGAGTTGCTCACGTAGTACTTTTGTCTGTTGCTACCTGACTTCATTCAGACGTACATCATGATATCAAGGAATGAATAGATAATTGTTAACGTTCATATTTTGATGCACCAAAACGTTTGTAGCCATCAACATTCTTGTCCAATGTCGTCCTTTTCACATAACTTAATCAAAGATATATTCATAACTTATTTTATATTCTTCGCAGGATCTATGAAGGCCTGGCACCCAAGCTGGTCATCACCGATCCTGAGATAGCGAAGAATGTGTTCGTGAAAGACTTCAGCAACTTCCCCATGAGGATGGTAAATATTTTACCGCATTTTCTCACAGATATTAAAAGGCTTGTTTACTTTAGTACATTGTAAATTGAAAAAAAATTGTAAAAATCTTAACTTTCATTGGATGAATGTGAGGCAAATATACAAACCCACGTCACATTTCTGGAACGTTGGCGTGTGTCAGACAAAAGTGGGTCAAATACCCGTCAGTGAGTCAAGTGATTGTACGTCTACCAGTATGAGTTTTGAAATAAAACTTGTGAATGTCTTTGTTTCCCCAGCCCCTGTCCATACCGATCGGCCTGCCCGATGAAACGCTGATCTTTGCTACATTCTCGGACCACAAGCGCCGGCGCGGCATCCTGTCTCCGGCTTTCTCAGCAGCTAAGGTCAAACTGGTACGTTAACGCCGAAACAACTTTGTCTTAAAAGTGCATGGAGTTGGGCGGTGGGATAGAATGTACTTTAATGACTTTCAAAGTTTCGAAATCATCAATTTTCTATGCAGGGCTTTTTTTTTTTAGACTTTTAGACTGCTTTTGAAATTTGATTTTTTTATCTCATTTTTCAAAATGAGAGATGGTATCACACAGCAAAACTTATGCTTAAAATGTTTGTTGAAATAATTCCAGACACTTAATTGTTTGATATCCACGGAGAAGGGAGATTTTGTGGCTGCCTTTCCATTCTAAACATACTGTTGTTTGCTTCTAGATGGTGCCACTGGTTAACAGGTGTGTGGACTTCCTTATGGAGAACCTGGAGAAGCTGTGTGTGGAGGACACCAGGTTTGACGCTAAAAGGTACGTAATGTTGAAGACATTACCAATTCTGAGGAGCAAATATCTTGATTGTCCTACCCTGAGATTATACAAACTTGGCTTGCATGACCAATGACTCTAATATTAGTGCTATTGGACATACTCCCATAATCTACACATGTATATATTGGTTACTTTAGTCATGTATATTGAAACTTAGCACTGTAATCACTACATGTAAGTCTTGCTTTGCAATGTGTAACCCTTGTGCCCCTATTTCTACACAACACAACAGTGTTCTAACGTTTTGTGCATGTTTTGCAGGGTGTTCAGCTACCTGACCCTGGACGTGATGGCCAGCACAGCCTTCGGTGTGGAGGTGAACTCCCAGAAGGACCCGCAGCACGCTTTTGTTCAGAACGCCAGGAAGGTGGACCTGTCCGTGGTGGGGGGGATGAAACCCAGCCTCATCGTAGCAGGTAGTTAAAACTTTCAACATCTCAGACCATGTGTTTCATTGAGATGATTTTGCAACAGGTGGTTTGCAAGCCATGCTTTCTTATATAATATTAAGGTAGCAGGGAGGGTGGCTAAGGACTTTTGTGGTGTTCTAAAAATACTACTTATAGTTAAGTATGGACTTTGATTTTTATTAGGAAGTACCTTATTGCAATACAATCATTTATGCAAATTTTTGTGATGTCATGACATCATCAAGAGTTATAGGAGAAGAATAGGTCTACTGGGCTAATGCCTGGCCATTTATCAATGATATTTCACTTTGGAGAACTAACGTTATGTCTGAGGAGAATTAAGTACTAGAGTAATACATGTATATGGAAAGATTAGAATTGAAATGTATGGAGGATGTGGAAAGAACATTGGCCATGACTGTCCCTTCCAGAGAACATGCCAGTTTTGATTGGTTGGTTGATTGATTGATTGATTGATTGATTGATTGATTGATTGATTGATTGATTGATTGATTGATTGATTGATTGATTGATTGATTGATGTTGTGTATTATTCCAGCCGTCCTGTCGATGGTTGTTCCCATGGACGTTCTGGAGAAGTGGGGACTGACAGTCTGTCCTGCAGACGCCGTCTCCTTCTTCCACAGCATCTTAGAAACCATCCTCACCATGAGGACCAAGCAACAGCCTGAAGAGGTACTCAGACAAAATTTGTCAACTTCTTTGAATGAAAGCTCATCTGTGTTCGTACTTGGTAGGATCCATAGTTGTTCAAACTTTGTTCCAACACCAGAACAGAACTCACCATAAATTTTTGGTCGATCTCATCAACCTTAGTCAGATGTGTGCATTCACTTGTCAACTTCTTGAATGATTTGAAATTCTTTTCTTATTGACAGAAATCACTAAACCACTTTTCTGTGCCCTATTATTGGAATGACTCATAGATAATTGTGCATCATCTTATTCTTGCTTCACCTAAAAGCAACATCTTTCCTCTCACAGTAACTTGGACTTTTACCACACATGTATAAGCCATTGGCTTGTGAGTTAAGACTAAGTTTGTGTCGTATATTCCAGCGGCGGATGGACCTGTTAGAACTGATGCGAGCAGCCCGGGTAGAACACAGCTTGGACCTGCCAGAGGACTTTGAGTTTGAGAAAAGTAAGTAGCAGGAGCGTCATGGAGAAAAAGTGGTCTGTTGCCTGTTTGTCTTTAATTTTCTTTCTTTTCCTTTTTTTTTTGGGGGGGGGGGGTTGAAGGCTGTTTTTCCTGCTGTGTCATGTAATGCTTTTGTCTTAACTACAGACTCTTAATTCAAGTCAGACTGACAAAATCTTCTCATTGCAAGCTTGAAAAGTTACTTTTTTTTTACAATCATGTGGATCAACACCAGAGAAAGGGGAAAGACACAAAGGTTGACTCTGACTCCCGGGGATCAAACTCGTGCTCTACATGGCGTGTCATCAGCTCACAACCGAATGCACAATCACTAGGCCAAAAGGTCCAAGACCCGTTGGACTGGTCAATTGGTCACTTTTAGAATGAACCTTGCTGTTACATTTGCATTTATTGACCAACTGCCGTTGTTTTTGGTCCAGGCCTGTCAGCGGATGAAGTCACAACAGATGCGATCAGTTTCTTCCTGGCGGGTTATGACACCATCGCAGGTCTGCTGGGCACCATGGCTGTGAACCTGGCCAGGTACCCTGACATCCAGGACAAGCTGGTACAGGAGGTCGCAGCTGTCACAAGCAAACAGGTAAGACAGTCAAATTGTCTGAGAAGAACACACCATCACACACTATATGTTAATGTAAGAAAAAAGAAATTCATTTGGAAATGCACTTTGATACAGAAGTCAGAGTTTGAGTAAGAATTGCATCTTTTTGATTTAGTTGTTGATTCAGTGTTGCAAGACTGAAACACTGTATATTCATTCGTAATTTTGCTATATGCAGGATTATGTTGAACGTGAGGACATCCAAAAGCTGGAGAACTTGGAGATGTTTCTGAATGAGACCCTGAGGATGGACTCTGGTGCAAGGTAACAAAATTTGTGTAACGTTAGTGCTTTTGCATCATGCAAACATATATCATCAAAGTACAAAGGTTTATCCAAGTCGGCAAGATACTCCTGGTTTGATTCCTAGTGTCCCGGGAGCCAGGATAGACTGTACTACTCTCCTTTTGTTTCACAACATTAGAGGAAATGAGATGTTCTCTAAAATTTTCTTTTCTTCGCCACCCAGATTTCCTCGGCTGTGCACCCAGGAGACTGAGATCAGTGAGGGCCTGACTGTCCCTGTTGGAGTAGAGGTCATCATCGACTCTGACAGTCTGCACATCGACCCTGAGTACTGGCCTGAACCTGGAACATTCATACCTGAGAGGTGTGTATTATCATGCACATGAAATGTTATCCATCAGAATCTTAGGTATCATGTCTGTTGATGTTATAAAATTGTTTGTCTAGTCAAGGGCTTAGCTTTCAAAGAGCTAGCCCAGCAGAAAAAAATGCATGTAGGAGTGTGAGTAACATGGAATGAAAAGGTTAATCTGAACTGTAACAGTTATTAAATATGCATGTACTGCCATCATTTTGCATTGGAGAGAGAGCGTAACCGTTACATTATATGTGTAGTTGCAGTACAGTAATCATGAAAGGGAAAAATTTGCACACTGTGAAAAGAAAAATTGATGGCACCAGGTAACTGTTACTGTTACTGTACTACTCTGTAGTATTAGCTGCTTTATGAGTTTTAACCTCATGAATGCAACATATCTTTTCTGACAGGTTCACCAAAGAGGAATGCGACAAGCGGGAGCCATTTGCGTTCATCCCGTTCGGCCAGGGTCCGCGGATGTGTATCGGGATGCACCTCGCCCTCATGGCCACCAAGATCACCGTGGCACGCGTCTTGCAGAAGTATCGCTTTCTCGCCTGCACAGGCACGCCGGTAAACACCATTCTGTCATTCTGTTGTTTTTAAAAGGATCAAAGCCATCTCTCAGGGTCTTTGCATCCTAGTAAGAATTCTGCGGTGAGCCAGAGTTTTATCATAAACCTTGTAACTTGGAATCCAGACTGTTGTCAGGGCCTACTGGCCCAGTTCTTTAGCACCAGGGCCAACATGCCACAGAGAAATTTGAAATTTTTGCCTCATGCCCTTACATTCATCCTGATCACGATGAACAAGGCCTCAGGATGTCAGGCTGCGGAGATAGAAAGCAGACTTTTCCTGACTCACCTAAGTTTTCCATACAGTCCTAAGTTTCCCCCATCCCTGTTTTAATAGCTGCACCTGTTACTTGCTACTTTCTAATCCTCCTGACCGCCTAGCTGCCTTCCTAACACAGTACAGAATTCTATCAGATTTAACACTTCAGCACTCACAATCGTGTATTATTGTATGACTAATATTTTGCATATAAGGGTTTTTTTTCATTTGTGCTAAATGTAATAACATTTGCATTGCAGACGGACCATGGCTTGGGATTCTTTGTGAACAACCAGTGGGTCAAGTTGGAGCGGCTGGATTAGCTGAATGTACCTGCAGTTTGGGCTTCAGTACTGAGGGTGAATGCCATGAATGTTATTAAGCCCAACCTTGGTTAAGGTGCATGTATGTATAAAAAGATGGAGCAACAGCTTAACGCACAGGTTAGGTAAGGCACTACAGATTGTACTGTAGATTATGAAGCCAGCTTAAGATGATGTTTGAAAGTAGATTATGATTTCGCGTGTCAGTTTACAACTGATGATGACAATCATGATTGGACATGTTATTAATATTATACCATATTTATCACAATAATATGGATGAATAATACATGGTCTATATTTATATGAAAGATAGTTAACATTGTAATACTGACAGATATAATGTTAATCGAAATAGTAAAGAATAGAAAAAAAAGATTGACTGTGAAAGAAACTAACAGAACTTATAAATGGAAGCAAATGATAATGTAAAGTGCATCTAATTTAGTTTTAAGTACAAAAGTTAACTGACCTACATCTGTTCCATAATGTTATATCTTATATTTATTTGTGATTTGAACATGGATACACAAGGACTATCTTTTAATAAGCATGATAACTACAAGTTCTCATACTAGATATTATGTAAAACATTTGTGTGTAAGGTGTCAAGTTGTTGTTATTGGTGTTAAGGCAATAAGGAAAATATAAGGCAATTATATTTTAAATGTTTTATATTTGCCAGTATCTTAAATGTATGCACTGTAAACCTACTCATCACAAGCTACCATAGGCTGTATTATCTGCTTGAATCCATTTCATTTGTTATTGGCATGTGTAATGTTAGCATGTTTTGAACAAGGCCTGAGCGAACAAAAGTAATATGGAGGAATTTCTGCATAAAATTTCGTGCAAGCCATGATATCCAGGAAAGAGATGAGACAAGTAAATGTAATATCAACTGCTGCAAAAAAATTCCTCACAGCTTACAAGTTTATGATTTAAACATTTTAATCAACTGACAAACAGAACATTGGCATTGGCCTTCTGTGCAGCTAACAAAAGGACTTAACACCAAGATGATAGCGATAGTTTTATGGATATGCTTATATCATTATGTAATGTTAAACAATAACGAAAGTTCAGGGCATTGGTATCATTTGTATGTAACTTTCTTGAACATATTGTTCAATGTTGTATCTGGTACTTAATGGTATACTTTTTATCTTATCTAATCAAATGTGAGAAATACATTAATGTTATTAATTGAAGTCAGTGATAACAACTCATAATTACGCAGATTATACATTAGCATAAACAATGCTTTAAGGTGTGTGTGGTTTTAAGTTGAATCAATAAAATTGTTTTAGAAATAGAACTTTATCAGCATTCAAGTCACTTTCTTGCAAGATGAGAACTGACATGTAGCCTGTAAAAACATTTTGGTCTGAGAAGAGAAAAGCAGATGCCTACTGTCCTTATACATGTAATAAAATGTGATTAAAACATGCAACAGAACTGAAGAGGGTATAATATGAGGCAATACTGTTTTGATTATATGGTTGACATCTTTTGGGAAAATTGATGCAGGCATACAAAACAAGTTTAAGGCAAAAAAGTTGCCTTCATTATGAAATGTAAATAGTTGGGAAGGTTGAACCAATTTACAACCTACTAGCTGGAAGATGGAGTTGTTTTTTCCACAATGTAAAAGATAAATTAGTCAAACAAAGGTCGTTTGTTGGACAATTTTACCACGGTTGCTGTTCTTCTTAATCTATAAAATTGAATTATGATCGAAACTTAAATTTATAAGATAAAAGCCATTATTAGATCATCGCAGGATTGGCTTGCATGCGTGGCCAGTTGTTAAGAGTTTACTCGTGATTAACAGGTGGCACCTGTGCGCGAAACACGCAGAGACTGTGGGAAGAACACGCTGGAAAAGTTCCGCCCAGGAAGACGCACCACGTCGGCTTTAGATGGTAGGTTGCATTCAAAATTGTCTTAGATACTCTCCGGGTCATTGTAGATAAATCTCATTGACATGAAATAGAGGAAGAGAACAGAAATTCGGAAATTACTTATGGCAAATGTTCACTAGGTTTAATGTTGCACTTAGTAATTCAACCGCTGGGAGCGCTGCTGTGTGGCCAAGATATGTACCTCAGCAAAAACGGATTCTTTTTTCGGTGACGTGATATCTAATATTGATTCCCCTTAAGACAAGCAGTCGGAAACCGTGGGAGAGTCCCAATTAAGTGGCCACTGATGAATCATGATGGCACCGAGGCTGGTATCTGACCAAGGAGGTTAAATACCTTGCTGAGGCATTTCGATGTTTGGCAAATATTATTAACTAGAACATTATTGCTTTTTTATATGAAGATGTAATACAACACTGATAAGATCATATAAGTATTTGAAGAAATATTTTCCTGCTCGATAATAGCTGTGAGGAAAGAAACGTTAGCCTCTACCAGGCTTGAGGGCGCGGCTGGAAATAGTAGAAATTGGCCAAATAGAGAGATAACACGCCGAGGGAGTTTTAATTGCCATCCAGTTTACAGTTTGCCGGCCAAACTGTAAACTGGATGGCTAAACTTAACTCCCTCGCCGTGTTATCTCTCTATTTGGCCAATTTCTACTATTTCCAGCCGCGCCCTCAAGCCTGGTAGAGGCTAAAGAAACGTTACTAGCAAATCGTTACAGAGTGTTACTGGACTACTTTATTAACTTGTCACAGGTCATTACCATTCACCAGCAACCCTGTGCGGGTAAAGATTGTATCCCTCCGCGAAGATAAAACCGGTCAGTACGAATTGTTGGCCCAAGGGGCGCCATATTATATTAGTCTCATTCGCAGTCAGAACATTTCGTGAAAACGCGACTTGGTGTTCAATTAAGCAAAACTACAAAGACCGTGGCGACAATGGAGACGCCAATGGGACAGTCGGAAATAGGTAAGGTCCCTAAAGTTTGAAGATCTCTTCCACAAGAAATCTCTACTCGTTACCAGGGAAGACTCGGCCACTTCCGGGTCTTTGGTTTATGACCGCTTAAGTTTACCCGGCCACCTGTTGCTGATACCAAGTTGTTCACTTACATAAATGATCAGCACTTGGTAATGTATACGCACTTTGGCTATTCTCACGGTAACGACCGTTGACATTAAGTATCAACAGAATGGACATTTTGTAACGTTACATGCCAGGTGACGACGCCCAACGGGACGTCATGATCATGACCCCGAACGGTAAAAAGAACAGTCGATCAACAAAATATTGTGTCATCCTGAACGATCCATCGTACAGTTTCTGAGACATTTAACTGTGGCTGCTTAATTGTGATCAAAAGTAGGTTGGGAGTGCATGCCTAATGATAAGACATAAGGCAAAAGTTTTAAGGAACTTAATAGACCATTATATATCGCTGCCCAGTTTCGTACGAAACTTAGTCGACGCTACTTCCGGCCTGAAACTCAGACACTAGCGTCATCGATGGCGTTACGTTTCACCTCCAGATACGCGCTCACGCCTTCATAGTCGTACCATGCAGATTTGCTGTCTATATTGAGTCGGTACACCCCCCAGAATCAACAAGACTCAACCATGGCAATTTTAATCATCTTACATGTAAATCACAGCTATCCTGTGGATAGGGTACCACAGGTCGGGGGTGGGGTAGTGGCGTAGTCATATGACTGATCAAAGTTTCATATACTTTCACATCATACAAACATGAGCAGATTTTGCTGACGCTTTGTTTGCATCCTTCTACCTTCAGTCGATCAGCCTTTATTGACATTGGAGTGATGTACTAGTAACCTGTGGTCATGATTTGTTGAAAACAAACGCGTTTGATCATTCAATGATTGCTGAAACAGTGTTTGAGGAAACTTAAATTTCATAATACATGTATTCATGTTATGGATACATGCTACGGTTTCTTGAAATGTTATTTGTCAAATATCATTAATATGTTTTCTGCCATATTGGCACAGCATTGCTCTAAAATGTGACTATTTATGAACCATTAGACGTCAGAGACATCTTTGAATTCGTTGCCGAGAATGTCGTCCGTTGGAAAGATCTGGCGCGCAAGCTCGACCTGTCAGAGGCAAAGATCGGCGGTATCGATGTCAAACAAAGAGGTGACACAAAGGAGTCATGTATGGAAGTCTTGGAGGTATGGCGATTGAATGAAGGGCGAGAGAATGCTACGCTGGAATCATTGAAAGGTGCACTCGAGGAGGCAGGTCTAAAGGCCGTTGCAGACGATGTTGATGGTGAGTTAATACATTCAATGGGTTTACATTTCAAACAAGAAGGATTTTAATATAAATATGAAATTGACTGGGCAAATGACAGTCACAATACGAAGGCAATTTCCTCATTACCTAGAAGGATACTCTAATAATAATAACAACGTGCCTTGTTTTCAATGTACATGTAGATCAGTTGAAAAACTACTTGGAAGGAAAGTCACCCACAGTATTCAAGAAGAGAAAGAGGACAATATTTGGTAAGTTAGTACTACATGAATTACTGCATTTCATAATTGTAATAGTCCATCTCCTTTACAATTTATCAAGTACTTTATAATGTACATGTATATATAGAAATATATGATGGGTTTATTTTCCAGAAACCAAAGGAAAGGTGTACTTCAAAGATAAAATGGCAGAAAGGGTTGAGGAAATGTTTGACAAGGCCTTCACTGATGAAGTGTACCAAAATCCCAGACTGTTTATTGAAGTTAGTGCTGCTTTTAGGGAGAACTATGCCATTCTAAAAGACACTTCTCGTGGCTGTCTTGAATGCCACTTGGAGTTTGATTGTTTGGCCAACTTTGAAAAGTATTGGGAAAGGTACACTGAAGGCAAGGTGTCAGCAACCCTGTCTGCCTGCCTGGTCACCAGTGATCTGGTGGCCAAGATGGGAGTTAGTGACGTCACAGTACTGGTGGAGATGGATGAACATGACCTTGAAAAGGCCAGGAAGTTCTTCAATGAAATCGGTGGGTATCTGCTTTTTACTTGCAGTATCCAATCTCTTAAATCTGTAACATAGAAGTTACACAGTATGGTTGTTGTGATTAGATTAACCATTCCTTTTTATTCTATGGAACCTTCTATTTGAACTTGCAAGCTTATCATGAATGGAGAAAAAGATAATATGTTTTTCAGTTCCTACTTTGCAAACCTGGTTGAACAATGTTGTGAATTGCATGATTCTCATGTATACATGTATATGAGTTCATATTTCTATTTGAAACAGATGTTCAGCAGTTGGAAACCTTGACCATCACTGAGGAAGGCAGACCGATAACTCCTGACTGCCAAGGAGTGGTTGGCTCATCAGGTAAAGGACATGGATTTGTGCTGTAGATTCACAGTCATGAAAATGTTTGTAATAAGCAACTACTTAGCATTATCCTTTATAACTCACTGAGATAATGAATGGTGCATCATCAATACGTGTAGGTAGAAAAGGAGAGGTTACATTCATGTTTAATCCTACATTACTTGGTTTAAAATTCCAGAACATGTACATGTACATGTACATAAAGATAGAAACATCCAAAATGTCTGCTAGATTGCATTATGTGTATGTACAGCTACAGGTGACTAGACAAAAAAGGTTTACCTCATTATTCATGTACATCCTTCAGGGAGTGTAGACACCTCTTCACAAACACGCTTGAGAACCAAGTCTGGTGATACCCTTGGTATGTACTGCCATTTCATTTCTTTGCAGCCTTTAACTTTAAGTATTCATCTGTATCTGTATCGGTATGGCCGGTATAACTATCCTTGGGCATAACACACCAGCTTCCCAGGCAGTGGCAGCTAGCATATTATTTGCGTACGGGTTCAATAATTTGGTTATCTTCTATCTGTAATTCTAGATACATGTATGTATGTTCTAACATGTTAACTTTACATGTACACAGGCTCATGTACAATGTTAAGTTTTGTACATATAGTACATATGCATAGTTGTCATATATACATGTACCTGTACCTACATATATGCACTAGTTATAAAATAGAGTGAAACATACAAATATAGAAAGAGAGATGCATACATACACTGTACACGGAGGCATGTACAAATGTAAATGTACCAAGTACAAAGATTTGAAGTCAGAAACCCATTTTCTTTGAATCTCATTCTGTTCAATTTTAGTTATAGTTTCATGTTGTCCATGCTCACTCATGGTGCCACTTTCAGTCATACACTACATGTAGTGCATGAGTAGAAAGATAGAGATACGTATACTGTACATGAAGATATATATTCATTGTAGCACAAAACATACAAAGCTTTCTAGTCAGAAAAGCCCATTTACTTCCCATTTTGATGGGTACTAATATGTTTAATGCCACTTTCATTCTACAAACAGGAACAAGCCCAAGGGCCCACCTGGCTGAATGTACAAAGTGCCATGACATGAATGAAGATCTGCAAAGCTACCTGAAATGTTCGACTGGGCATCTGATATGTCGTAAGTGCTTTGCTGAGCATATCCAAACCAATCCAGCAGTAAGCGTAAATTGTCCACTGTGTTCCCAAAGTATTGGTCCGTACATGAAGACGTCAGAGCACACAACCAAGAACTCTGTCTGGATCTTTGTAGTTGACTCCAATCTTTGGGTGGAGGGAAAGAAGCTTATTAGTAAGGAGCGCAAGTTTCAGACAGCTGAAGATCCCCGCATCAGGATTGATGTTGGCAAGTTGTCTGAGATTGTGGCAGAAGGTCGACAGGTGGTGACCGGCACCCTGTATGGTTCAGAGCCACCGAAGCTGGACACTATCTGGAAAAAGGTGCGCGAACGAGGGTGGCGAGTCCCGCAGCCGAAGAAACGAAGTCAGTTCACTGGAAAAGAGAAGCAAATTGACAACCAGCTTGGTGTGGATGTGACAAGTCTTGTATGCAAGACAGAGGAAGGCAAGAGAGGAACAGTCATACTTGTGACAGGAGATGCAGATGTGCTTCCAGTATTAACTAACATTCTCAGTGAACCACCTTGGAAAGCAGAGATTTGGATGTGGGAGAAAAGCATCTCTAGTGAGATCAAGTCCCTACAACGGCGTCATCCAGATAGGGTGAGGATTGAGCACCTGGATGCCTACTCCAAACAGCTAACCTTCACCAACTACACCTACCGAATAAGTCCAGGCAAGAACAACCAGCTCCTGACTCAGGCCATTGTGTTTGAAGGAGTGCAGAAGCAGCCTGACTCCTGGAAGATGGACAACAGTTGGGTCAGAAGGATGGAGGAAGTCTGTAGGTGGCCTTTCCAGTATGCTTGGATATTTGAAGACAACGTTGACATCAATGACCTACTAGTTGTCTTCCTCAAAGGGAAAGATGCTGAAGGTATCTTCAGGGGCCCAGAGCTTGCTGAGATGCTGGATTTGGTGAAAAAGGATTCGTATCTCCCCTCTCTCTCTACCAAAGTCCAAGCCTACATTTCTTACAAGCACTCAAGAGCGATGGATGACAGTGCGAATGTCTGCCTGTCTAACCAGTTTAGCAGCCTTGCGGACATGTACGAGAAAGTGGAGAAACTGGAGGATGAGGGATTCCACAGTGCAGGGGAGGAGAGGGAGGATGACAAGACAGCTTTAGGAGCTTCAGCTGCCATGCACCAAAGGGGAGCTCGTCCACATATGCCACAGTTCCCAGTACAACCCATGTACATGTACAGGCAACTCTCACAACCAGGTGCTCAGGAACACCGTCCCTTCTACTGTCCTCCTGTACTCTCACAGGCCAACAATCAGTGGATCCCAGCTCCAATGAAGCACAGGCAGAGTCCATACCGTCCAAGGTACTCTGAGCAGTGTCCAAAGAAGTTCAACTGTAGGGATGGTCGCCACTGCGCATACACCCATACTCCTGAAGAGGTGGCATTTCTCAAGCAGCGTCCACCAGGCCTGCCAGTGTACAAAGTAAAGCTGTGTGAAAGGTGGGGAATGGGGCACTGTAAATATGAAGCACGGGAATGCAACTATGCACATGGCCCAGAAGATGCCTGTTGTCTCCGATGCAATTGTCGTGGCCACCTAACAGAAAACTGCCCTTACTAGATAAAAGACAAGATGGAGAATTGAATATTGTACTGTGAATGCATTCATCCAGAACAAAACATGACAGACAGTTCTTTCAGCAAACACCTTCACAAGGGCTTTATTTCTTTGACCACCTGATATCAGAAACTTAAGAACCCTGAACACCTGAGATACAAATGTACATTTGTACTACACCTGTCACCTTATGGTATAATGGGTTACGAAGATACACAGATACATTGTGTACATGTACATGTCCAATTGCTCTCCAAGTTTTCAAAATAATTCACAGTAATGTAAAAACATATCTTAAAGATTACATCAGTTTAGTAAATGGAACCAAATCAAGGATATTAATCTATAATTCATTGATACTGATGGATATGAATCAACATTTAACTGTGGTTGAAAAGTATACAGTAGTTAGAGCAGATCAAGGCCTCATGTTTAAAATTCTGCAGATGAAGACTGTACATAGTGACAAAATTTATTTTTTTTGGGTGTGAATTTTTTAAAATAGTATAACAATCTTTGACAAAGGTACATTTTTAGCTCCTAAAGAATGTATTTTAATAGCCAAGCATTCTTGTCTAATCATTTATGGTGAAATCTATATGGTGAAAGTGCAGCATTGTAACAATTTGCTTACAGCAAGAGAACAATTATAGTCTTAAAATGGTTTACAGGAACATTTTCCTTTATCAAGCATAAGTCATAGCCATTATGTCCTTGTATATATTCTCGTATGTATTTTCAGCATCCACATGTAACTTACAAGTCGTCCCTGTCATTTTCCCTCAATTTCTAGGCCCCTTGCATGTTAATATCAATCCATTGGAAACCAGGAAACCAGTATACATTCCATAACACTGTCTACTACAGTAACTGCATTTTTAGGTTAACATCTCTTCTGACACCTAAGTAAGGCTTTACTACAATGGACTACATAGACACAGTGTTAAGTCACCTTATGTCTTGTTCATATTCTCTTAATACTTGGTCCTGAGCTGAACACTTGAACACATGTTGTGACCATTTGTCATTTTCACAAAGCAGCATACATGTAAGGCTGTGTCCACAGTGCTAGTTATCATCTTTGTAGGCCTCTTCCAAAGACTCCATGACCACAAGCCCTCTACCAAGCCTGTATAAAATACATTTGATATACAACATTGTATCAGGACTTTCCAAGAAAAAAAAACTGCCAGGCAAAATACATTGTAGTATTGTGAACTACAATGATTTTGTTCTCCTCTTACTTAACAATTACAGTATACCTACATTGAGTACTACATGTATGATAAGCCACCTACATCCTACATATATTAAAGCTTTTTAACAGTATTTCTATGCTTCACATCATTAGAAGATGACTGTTTTAGATTTTTAAGACAATATATACATGTATAAACTTTAGCATCAATCTACAGTTTATAGAAATACATATGTCATGTGTATAATCAGTCGGTTGTGGTGCAGTGTGTGATCTTATGTTGAAATTACTGAAATAGTAAAAGAATAAAGAGTGAAATACAAATGTGTATGTCATCAATTAAAGTACTCTGTTTACTGGAGCCATCTCAACCACTGTCACAAACCTTGGTTTGCAAAATTACTAATACTGGGAAAATACTACATTTTAAAGTTTTAAAACAATTCCTGGGATATTTTCAACTAAAACTGATGTAAAATAAAACCTTAAGAAACAGAACTTTCCACCATAACAAGCCATATGTGTAAATAAATGAGTACTTACTCCTCAAAGCCAGCCCTGGTCTCCTCCACCTTGGAAGGATTACAGCAGACAGCGACTCGGGACTTACTGGGGTCAAACAGCGGGGTGAAGTACTCAGCACCAACACGCTTCATGTCTGCAACTGTCACCTTCGAGATCTTGGCAAGAAGGTCCCTGCACAGTTGATAGAAATTAATCCAGGGAAACTTGAATTTTCAGAATCAAGAACCCACTTTGACTTTTCTGATCTTTTTATTTTCACAGTGTGACACACTGTATCTGTGACTCAGTGTGTAAAATCCTTCTTCCAGGTAAAATTGTGAGCTGAAAATATAGATATTTTCCTCCATTTAAGTTGGAAATGTAAAAGTCAGCAAAATGAATACAGAAATCTGAAACCAACTACAGTAGCTTGTACATGACCTCATACTTAGGTGTACACAATCTAACATTTTGTTGTATCCTGACGTGTATTGTCTTTGTGCACTGTACCAGAAAAATCCTTAAATTTCAGCAAGTATGATAGACAGCAGTAAACCACAGAGGAATGTCTAGTCATAAAAACTGCAGCTTTTTCCATTGGGTTATCATTATAACAGACTGGATTCTGGTGAAGATTGCACAGCTTTGGAGAGAACAGCAGGTCCAAACCTGTTGTAGCTGGAGCCGACTCCCCTGAAGTATGACAGAAGAGACTGCATGGAGGTGTCTCCCACACTCTCCTCACGCTCGATGATGGAGGACAGGACACTGCTGATGGCAGCCTCCACCTGAACCGGCTCAAACTCTGCACTCCCATCCAAGTACTCCTCCTGTAGGACACATAATGGGGAGGACACAGATGTAGTATCATCAACTGAGCTGTTACTTTGTCCCCTGCTTTTTCATATTGTGCTGCTGTAGAGTCTATCCGTCCCAGTTTTTTTACATGTAGCCAGAACCTTGCAGTTGCTTTAAACTAATCATTGGTTTAAAGCAAGTGCTAGGTTCTAGCTACATGTACATGTTAAAGTCCTGATGGTGGAGATTCTGCCTTGTAGCAAACCATCTGCATGTATATCTATGTTCAAGCTGATGTCAAAAAAAGAGTGCTTTTATTGTCACTATCTTTATATGACTTCCACTTTATGTAACTTTTTAACATCAACCTGAGCATCCAACAAAACACACAGTTGAAATCATTGCTGAAAAAGACACCACAGTAACTTTAAGTACACCAATTCTAGCTAACTGGTCTAACAAGTTGCAATGAAGTCAAAGCGGGGATAGATAGTACAGGAAGTGATGTGAAAAGACCGCAATGAATACAAACGTACCACTATATCCTTGCCCACTTTATAAGCCTGGACCAGCTGAGCAGACTTGTACAGGATGAAGGACATCAGGCCCTGGGAGGGAGTCACCTTGATGCTGTAGTGGTACGACAGACCAAGGCCCCTGATCTGCCTCCACATGGGGCCCTGATGAGAGATGGGGGAGCAGGATATTATTACAGGCTGGACAAAAGTTATCCTAAATAACCATACAATACATGTAAATGTATGTTTGAGATTCAACATTCCTACAATTAAAACCTATTCAGTTGCTTGAGCAACAATTTTCTTGTGTACCTCATTTCCTTCATTATATTTACATACGTGTATACATTGTACCTACAATTACATTCATTTCTAGATGTGCACAAATTACTGTTTTCCAAACTGATTTGTGTGATCAGTATGAAATATAAACAGACAATGGTTGTTACGATCTAAGATTAATTTTCTTACAGTCATCATGATAAGAGAAGACTTCAGATTTTCATCAATGTGGTCTGTATCGGTATAGCAGGTATAACCGCCCTTCACAGGCACGCGATATGACAGCAGCTAGCTATATTACACAGAATGACCTGTTGCATCCAATCTTTGAGTTGTACATTTATGTAAGTATATGCATATATAAGCCCTCACCTCTAAGGCAGTGAGGTACTCTATGAAGACTAAGATGGCAGCGAGGTCAGGATGACTGTGTGAGGTGATACAGGGGACAGTCTGCACCAGGAAGGATGACTCCACAGCTCCCACTCCCACGATGGTCCCCATGGAGGAACCTTTGTCCAGAGGCTTCAGCAGGGTGTAGGAATGCTGTAACTCACCGGTACTGTAGAGAATACGATGAGAATAGTGCAGGGATTTCAGAAAAAGGGGTGGTCCTCATTAGCCTGAGTGTCAGCCTTGTTACTGTTAGCTTTCGTCCACTCCCCAAGATCCGCTCCCCGCCAACAACTGGGGAGCTGACGAAAGCTGACACTCAGGCTAGGTCCTCGTTTGTAGTAGCCTGGAGTCAAGCCTTGTTAGCTTTAGTCTGCTCCCCAGGATCTGCTACCCTGCTAGCTTGTTGTACATCTAAGTACATGTATAATTCTGTCTGACAGACCCAGAAAAAATGACTATATATACTTCAGAAAAAAGTGGCACTGTAACCGCTGAAACTTTACTGGATTACATGACTATCATTCTTATTAATAGGTGAATGTCCATGACCACATCAATACAGGGCACATCAGTCAGTTAGTCAGTTAGTCCGTCAGTCAGTCCGTCAGTCAGTCAGTCAGTCAGTCAGTCAGTCAGTCAGTCAGTCAGTCAGTCAATTAATCAAAAATGAATTGCACGCAACAGACTCCTGACCTGGACTTCTCTGCCAGTCGTTCCTTGCTGATGAAGTTGTCCCAGTGTTGTCGTGGCGACCCCACGCCCGCCAGTCTCACCACGTCGGCTGACATGTGAACCCTGAGGGAGGCGGGGTCAGTCAGCAGGGCGCGTAGCTGGTTCATCTTCTCTAGGACCTGGATAGTATAGATAGAAAAAAGAAAACTGTAATCTATGGCCTCTCAATGCCAAATACAATGTAGATTTACATATACATGTACAAATGTATTTTGTAGGCTATAACTAGCCTGCGTGCCATCCAACATAGTTTCCACTGGCTCCCTTATGTCTCTGGCTACCAGCAAGTCCAGACCCTGTGGTAGCCAGAGACATTAGGGAGCAGGCGGAAACTATGGAGGACGGCACCCAGGCTAAGCTATAACTACATATGCTGCTCAAACTTTCAGAAGACAGAACAAATGTAATATATATATCCTTTCTTTAGCACTGAAACACAAGTCTAACTAACACTCACTATACCAATCCAAGAAAGTAATAAGTGTACATGTATCTCTTCATTCTGTGAATGATCATTCACAAAATGGTCATAATTCTGAACATTTTCAATTCAGAGTGCTTATTGGTATAAAAAGCCCCTTCTATATGTTACCAGAGACAAACTTATAGCAAGCATTTCTAGAGTCAGTAACACATACCACGTCTGGTTTTCCCTCCAGTTTCTCCAGGAGTTCTGTCAAGAACTTGTGTTGCCGCATCATGTTGGAGGCATGGATGTTACTCTCTGTGTCCAGACAAAAAATCAATAAACAAAAAAATGTAATTCTTCTACAAAATACCACAAAAGGTAACAAAGCTGCATTGCACTAGTAGTTACTTGAAAAAGCAATCATTCTTCATCTTAGTTGAGGATGAATGCTTTACCTTTCTTCTTATTAACCAGTAAACACTATTGGCAAGTTGGGTCTTGCTACACAAGAAAAGAAAACCAAGGTAAAAAAAACAAAGACAAGGCAGACCTGACTGGAAGTTCATGTCGTTGATGACCGTACTGGCCACTTTGGCTCCACTCCTCTTCTGCCTTGCCACGTCGTTGGCCATCTTGGTGGCAATGATCTTGAGTCGATCAGCAGTGAACTGTGTCTGGAACAACAGCTCACGTAACCACTGCACGCCTTTGGTGTACTTCTCCATCTCCAGCTGGGAGAAAGATACCATAGATGTTTTGATACACCAACACTCACTAGATTTGCTTATACTTCTGCATGATAGCTTTAATGGCATGGGAAAGAAAATACTGATGTCATAGCTCAAATACATGAAAAAGCATCTCAGGGAAAGCTCAATATTACCCAAAATGGGGCTGCTTCTTTTCAAATTGTAGCAAAAGTTCATCAGTCACTGATCAGCTCATCATCAGCTCTGTAGATGATGAACTCACGAATATAAATCTCTGGATATATCTTGTTTTCATGTTACACATAGTTTTTTAATAAAGAATTTTAAAAACACAATCATTAGTGGATCTTTTGTGTTTGAATGGGTAAAAGCGATAGAGAGAGCTACTTTAAGAAACCCACCTTCAGTGCCAGAGTGACGACCTGTGCGAAGTGTCCACAGGCAAACCTGTTGCCCCCCACCCCCAGGGAAGTCTCAGCAGTCAGGGTGTCGGCCGCCAGCTCACGGATCACATCCTCATGGGAGACCAACACTGGACATACAGAAACTTGAGTTAACTTGCTGCAGCAGAAGATAGCTAGTCCTACTTAAAAGCTTCACATTCATGTCTGGCAAAATTTTCACTGCCACACTGACCAAACATGGATGTACATCTGTATCAGTATAGCCGGTATAACCGCCCTTCAGCGTAACACACCAGCTTCGCAGGCACGCGGCGCGACGGCAGTTAGCTATATCACACCGAACGACTTGTTGTACTCAATCTTTGCACATTTAATTGCAGGAGTTGTTTAAAGCTTTCTAGTGCTGATGGCCCAACTATGCTTGGTGGCAACGAGTTCCAGTCTACATATGACAGCTTGTCTGAAAAATGTATTGTGAGACTAACTCCCAGTTAACTTTGCATATATCTACCAAATTTGGTTGCTTCACCTTGGTTCATCTTGTGGTTTAACTTAGTGTCCTTCCTATCAATTTATCAATGCTGCAGGTAGAAATTCTGTCAACATTTTTTACTGTAAGGGTGTTCTTACCTCCATCCCTGAGTACAGGAGACTCCAGGATAACCTCAATGTACAGACACAGATACGGTCTGAGGTCCTGGGGAACCCTGCTGCTGTCCAGGAGGGCACAGAGCTGGAGGGACAGGACAGGCAAATACAGTACAACGTGTATCATACTGTTGATAAGATGTCATAACATCTTTTTATCATTCATTTCATTTATCAAAAATTTAGATATTCAAGATATTTTAATGTTATGAATACAAACATGATAAAATTGATTACTTCCCCTCCTTTGAGTATTGTTTACGTGGATGTCTAACCTTCACCAACGTCCAGCTATTCTGTCAATCCGTACTGTATGAAATATAATCCCACCTGCACAAAGTTGGTGTGGATGTGGTCCAGCTGGAACGTGAATGGGAGGCTGTCCAGGGGGAACTGGGGAATCCTGTTCATGGCGCTCTTGTCGTGTGTGCTGGCTACCTGAATGGGGTGGAACTGGATAGTGTCTGTGTCAGGCACTTCCAGGCTACTCAGCATCTCCGTAGGAGCCTCTTTCTGCAGGAACAGAAAGTATTTTTTGTAAAAATAGGACCAATGTATCTCATAAATAACAGATATAGTATAATGTAGATTAACTTATACAAAGGTATTTAAATGACTAACCTACAATGTTACTAAGACCTTTTTTTAGCTTAAAAGATTTCCAGTAAAACTTTACATAACTAGAAAGGCCGACATTTGCTTGGGAGCAAATACAGCATATTTCAGTCCATCTCCCTCCCACGCAAAAGTGGACTATTCCAAACTTACCCCAGTGCAAAACTGGCAAAGGTTCTCAAATTAATGAATTAAATAGTAGCTATATGAGAACAAAGATGCAACAACAAGTACTTTGAATCTCGAAAGCTTTACTAATCTTATTACAGGTATGCAAAAACTAACAATGATGAGATTTGATACATTTTGAAGGTCTTAGGTACATAAAATTGAATGTGTGGGTCATTGCGCACCACTTAGGTGCAATGTGACCTCAGGTAACCCGCAATGGAACACGTGTTCCATGGATGGAACCGGCCATTCTTTAGATAGAACATGGAACGGGTACAGCACTTTTGGCCCTTTTTTTGCTGAAAATAGCCATTTAAGTCCCCCAAATGAGTCAGTTGGAAGTGGTGTATGCCAAATACATGACTGCTATTCTGTAGACACATGTTCAAGGTACTCTTATACCGAATTTCATATCATTTGGTTGTTAAACCAGGGCTCAGGATCCAAAAATCCATTTTTTGGCGAAAAATGCCCCAAAAAACCTTCATAAAAATTTTTCAAAGGCATGTATCAAAAAAATGAAAAAAAACGCCTGGGGGTATTGGCCCACTCTACCTCCATGCCAAATTTCAAGTCATTTGGCTGAATGATGGTGGAGTTGAATCCCTTTGACTGTGTGGCAGGAGGAGAAGAAGGAGGAGGAGAAGAAACATCAGAGAACACAATATATTTCATCCATACCATGGTATGGACTGAAATATAAATACAGTACAGCTTGCTTTTTTGTTGTGTACACTAAATATATTTTTCTGTCGCAAATGCAATCATGATATTTGTTACAACAATAGAAAAAGCTTCACTACAAATTATGAGCAAACTACTGTGGCAGGTTACGGACCTCATTCTCCTCTGTAGCCTTGTCCAACTTTTTCTCCATCTTACGAAGTCCCTCCTCCCCGAGTTCTTCTCTCTGTCCCTCTATTCTCTGCTTCTCCTCCTCTGCCATGTCATCCCTCATGTCTGTACTGGGCTCACCGATGATCTGTACAGACAACAGGAAAAAATTGTATTCTTTCAGGAACATCAACCCAATGTTCTAGCCAGCATCCCTCTTTCCATCATTTGACAGAATTTTGCCACTCATGACAGACAAAAATTTTGCCCAATCTGTCATCTTTGATAGACAAAAATTGGTGTGCAAAAATATGGAACAAGATGTCATTAAACAAAGCTTAGTCTACCAGCAACTATTTCCCCCCAAAAATGCAGGAAATAGAGGGTCAAGATATCAAACAAAAGTGAGATGAAATTTAGGCTAGCTGGAACACTGCATCAACCAAAAGAACAGCTTCAACAGAACCTTGAGATGCTGGTGTAAGTTAATGAAAAGGACTTACAGTGACAAGTGCAGCCTGAGTGAAATATTTCTTCAGCAGGTTTGTCCAGAACTCCAGCGGTTCCTTGGCCAGTCTGCGGTAGTAGTTGATGTTGTTCAGACGCTCAGCCATCTGTGGACATAGACACGGTGTTCCAATCACAAAAATCATAGAAGAAAACATACTGTCAAAACATACATTGTACAATAGGAGGACTACTCATTGAACATTACCGATTGCACAAATAGAAAACATCAATAAAGTCATTTTCTCAGATAATCATTCAACACTGTAGTAACCACACAAACTTAGTGAACCTGACGCATTTTTCTCTGTAGCTTGTAAGGATACCAATATTCTTAGTAGTAGGTCCAAGATGTTAGAAATTACTTAGTTGCTGCTTATATGACGTCTATGTTTAGCCTAAGATTCAAATTCTAACCTGTTCATTACTGGTCCCATACAGGAAGTCTCCAATACAGTGGAAAGCCACTGTGTCATGAGGCTGGTCTTCTATCTGTTAATATGAAGCATATAAGTGTCAGTTGTTGCAAATATGCACATTTAGATCTCGACAGTCTAAAATGTAAGCAATACATGAGCCTGAGCAGCTTCAGCAATTTAGACTTAAGTACATAATAATACTCTCATCATATACATAAAACAACATTTGTAACACATTCTGAGCTCAGTAGTAAAAGAAGATGATATGCAAAGGTGGTAAGTATTTAAACAGTTAAGCATGATACATACATGGTTTAAGGCCTGTAGGATCTGCCTGTGTACAACTGTACCCATCCGCTCCATGTCCAACTTCTCAGTGCCATCAGCTATGCCTTTCAGAACTGACAAAACTCTGGAACAAGACAATAGTGATGTCAATATTGGTTTGGGGTTATGATTTCTGATGTCTTATTGATTATACATTGTGAAAAAGTCACAACGTCAGATGTGAATAACTGAAATTATAACAGAAGTCTTGGAAAATGGCCCTGTCCTTGGTGCTGAACATGTTAGCCAGTGGGATATAAGCAGTTGTATGCTTTATTACTTTCTTCTACTTGGTGAATATAGATGTCTTTGCCCAAAATGACAAGCTTGCTGCTATGTGTAAATGTCACAGCTTGAAAATTTGTACATTAATTGAGCCACATATTCCATGAATGCCACTAATGCATATTCACAATCATTCAAAGTAAAATAAAATGCCAGAAAAAAACTGCTTTCGTTTCAAGGGTGTTCTAAGGTACAAGTTCAAACAGTCATACACCTTAAATCACACAACAATGCACATATCTTACTTGTCCTTGAGGACCCTGAGTTTGGCGCTGGGCACGTTACTAAGGTGTAAGTACACACAGCATTCTGCATTCTCTATCAGACTGTGGGACACCTGAGAAAAATGAATTATAACAATTCATCACTAAACATTGACAGAAATGGAACCAAGCTTTCCCTAGCTACATAAATACAAAGAATAGAATTACAACCTAATTAAAGAATGGAAAACTAAAAAGCAACTAATGATTAGTGGTCTGAATAGAGTGGCTTGTTAAGAACTAAACACTGTACCCTGTTACAGTAAGGGTCCTCTGTCTCCACCAGTTCCCTCTGTAGTGGTGCGATGGCTGTGTCTGTCATGTACTCCAGCATGGTGGCTATAGCTGGGATGTCATACAGTTGCTACAGGCATAGAGATCCACAACAAACTCATCAAGATGGCAGATAAGCTTACCTGCTTTTGGACATCTACTATTGTAAAATATTTTACTTTTGAGTACTTCTGTTTGAAGATTTGGAAACACAATTAATGACATCCATCAAGGCATGTATATAATTATTTGATTGGCAAGTATAAACAGAAGTTAATGTAAACTGCATAAGTATTTCATATTAATCTTCTTCCTGCTAAGAAAGCCTTCTGGTATCAACTTTGGATTAATTGTGTGGTTAAGCAGCAGGGAGAAAAAGTCATTATTTTGAAAATTGTTTTTTTTCTTTACTAATTGGTCACCATGTAACAAGACCTGAAGGCAACTTCTTCAAGGTTTGAACTCCAAGGTTACGGGTTACAAGAATCCTCCCTATAAAGTCTCATCATAATTGAACTTTACTCAAACTTTCAAAGTGGCAATAGTTTGTACACTATTGAGTACTGATAACAGACATTTAATGCATGTGTTTGACAGTAGGGCAGACTCACATCTGACTTTGGTCCCCTCCAGGCCATCCGAACCATCCCGTTGGCCTCATCATCGCTGGGGTAGCCCACGGTGTGGGTGACGGAGGCAGGCAACGGGGGGACAGGGTTCTGCCACGGGCGCTTGTAGGAAGGCAGGGCGCCCTACAGGTGGGATAACTCAAGTTAGACATTTGTACACCAGTTCTAAAAACTGAGGCATATGGGCCATCATGACTCACTCAAGACCATAGAAATCAGGACTCAACATAAGCAAGAAAGAAAGAAAGCAAAAACTAACAGTTATGACACAGAAGACAACTGAGATTGAAGCAGTACTTCCAATAACAGAACTACATATTGAAGACAGGTAAGAACAGTCTGTAGTTCAGCAGATTTGTATGGTACCTGTTAGCAATGCCACCTGTCAACCTAATGCTGTAGTGCAGTCTCTGGCTGTAGATTTGATGGGTCCTCAGCTAGTTTGTATGTTTGGTTTAGTTAACAATTTTGTATGTTTTGTATGTTTGTAACACAGACACAGTTTACTGGAATTTCAACTTATATCAGTATGCTTAAAACCCAACTTATATCCCTGTCTGGTATGCCAAATTTTATTGTTTAAGAATGCACAATAATGCTGTTGTTTGTACCTTGGACAGGATTTTCTCCTCAAAAGGCTCCAGCACCTGGAAGACATCTGATGCCTTCACCTGTCCCGTGATGACCAGGTACAGGTTTTCTGGGCGGTAGAAGGCTGTGTGGTAGTCAACAACCTGCAAGGAAGAAGGGATTCAAATGTAGGATGGTCATCTTGTAAGAATAATAATTGTCTGGTTCTTAGTGGCAAATGTGCAGATCTTGACATATTGGCAAAACCAAATCTGTCTGTGTCCTCATCAATGTCTGAACACAGTATCAACGATTTGCCAAAAGTCCTGGCGGGTGTCACTACACCTTACAGGGAGTGTAGTCGTAAACATTAGGCATGTCAGGGATTGAACCCGGGACATCTTGGTTCCAAGCCAAAATGCTCTGACCATTATGCACTCATAACAGAGATGATAAGAGGCTAGTTCCGAGCTAAACAAGAAAGTTTGACAGTCAAAATTACCTTCCTGTGTGAGGTGCTGGTCCTGAGGTTCTCCAACATCCCTCCAGTCTCAGACTGATAACAAAAACAAAACAGAAGCCATTTTCAGTAAACAATCAAAATCAACTACATCTTGTGTACAATAAAATGAACCGGCTTCATCTGAGATCTTGAAAATGATGTCTGCTATGGCTATACACTATTCCTTTCTGTAATTCCCTGGGAAATCAAATTGTCCCAAACATTTTGAAAAATGAGAAATAAATTCTTTTGATTCTGCATAATTTCTTGCCCTTTTTGCTATCTACATTAAGCTTTAACTTTACAGCTTTAACCTTCTGCTGCTTAAGGAAATATATAACCCAGTTGAAAAAAAATTTTGCGGTTGCCTGACCTTGTAGCCACAGTGTCCAGGGTACATGCTCCTGAGCATCTCCAGGTAGGTCCTGCTCTCCCCAGTGTTCTCCCGAGCCTGCATCTCACAGTACACCACACCTGCATCCTCTCCCTCACCATTCACATGGTGAACCTCCGTGATGTAGGCTGAGTTCTGGAAGCAAAGAGTTGTTGATGTGGTGGTGTGAGCAACATGGTGGGAGAGTAGAAGTCACAAACAGTATCAGTAGAGAGATAAGAGTCATGAATATACAAAGAAGGGGGAAAGAAGAATTGTGTAGGATGTAGTAGAGGAATGAAGTGTTTGTAGCAGCAGAAGGGTATTTTAATAGCGAGATGACAATAATACAAACCATATCTACATAGTGTATATTTGAAATTCACGATTTCTTGTTAGTTTAACCAGTAAACCACAACGTGGTGTAATGTACGTTTCAGTTTCAGAGTTGCTGAGTACAAACCATGTAAGAAGATGATCAGTTTAAGGCACAACACCTACACATACGCCTAATCTTATCTTTCAGTTTGGCAGATGATTATCAAAAGTAAATCTATTATAGATTAGCCTTCCTCCTCCTGAGCTACTGTACAGAAAGAAGTGACAGGGAGGACACAGGTATTACGCATGTGATAAAAAGAGTTAAAATACATCAGCGCCCCCTACCGTGAGTGTTGGGTACAGCACGTGGTCCAGGTAGATGGGCAGCAGGTTGAGGAAGCCCTGACTGCCTGCTGTCGTGACGGTGTAGGCTGTGTGGTCTGTGTCTGTCCAGGCATTGGTGCCCTGAGCCAGGCACCTGTTAGCCAACAGATCCAACACTCCCTAAAAACAGGCAAACAAAAATCATTAGTCACACTAGAAAGATAACAATTGTAAAGCAAATGCATTATATTTACCTTCACATAGTCTAGTCTAACAAACTACAACTCTTAATCTTACTCAAATAGATCTATATACATGGCCTTTATACTTGGTTATGCTACTGCATACTGTAATGTAACCCAACACCACAGGGTGTCAGCTATAGCACCAGTTACCATGGCGACAGCAGTCTGATGCACGTTATTGACCTTACTTGTTAAGAAGAAGAAGAAGATTCTTTATTGTACGCCAACATATATGGATTAATGTAAAGCCACAGTCATACATAAATCAGATCACTTAGATTTTTAAGCAACCTTGTATCAATACAAGCAATCCGTATGAATTGTGTTTACCTTGTATGGATAGTCCTCACTTCCCATGAAGACCAGGTGTTCCAATGTGTGAGGTAAGCCATCATCATCATGGGCCTCCGTAGCTAAATGCAGACATTGTTGTTCAAAATGACTGTACATAAATAACTCTAAAACTCTTAATGACTGTAAGACATTACCAGTATTTGTCTTCAGGTAAAATATGACGTGTGCTTCAAGCAAAGGGAACTGATCTGGTGTCACTGATGGAAGGTAGTGGATGCAACCTGAAATGCCTGACCGTTTTCAAACATACTGTTGCTTGAGTAACAGTTTTTTGGCAGAACTGACCGTTGCCAACCAGTGGGAGGAATACACACTCACAATATGTGATACAAAAATTCAAATCTGCAAACAACAAGTGTCAGTGATACATCATGCAACTGACAACAGATTAAGTGAACCTTTTGTTATGTAAAATTTGGTGGGTGTGGTTGCAAGTCAAGCTATTCAAAGCACCATAATTTCAAGATTCCATAATAACAAGATTCCATAATAACACAGGATCTGTATTTTGAAAGGACTTGTCAATACCAGCACAGAGCTGAATCATCACAGGGCAGCTTCACACGCAAATATAACAATATGACGAATTTAAGCCATCTGGTGAGTTCAATAGTCAATAGCTGGACGTCAACAAATTTTTAAACTGTATGTTTCAAAGGAAATAGTTCGTGTTCTTATCATAAAAAGAATAAGGATGCGATAAGGATTTTTCTTGCATCAAAGCTAAATTATCTGCACTTTATAGATATGAAGATACTAGTAGCTAAATGTCCGTATCTAGTCCCTGACGTCCTCATATACAAAGAGGTTTCCAAGGAAACTGCATGTCATGTCCGTCCATGCCGCCCCCCTCCCCACATCAGCACCACAACATAATCTACATATTACATCCTCACCAAGGCAGAAATATCCCTTTACGAGTGGCCCCTCAACCTGAGCTATACACACGGTGAGTCCCGTCTCCTTGGAGCGATATTTGTCGACGGGAATGACTCCGTTTGCCTTCGCGGAGCAAACCAGCTCAAAATTGGCCGCCATTTTACCTGTGGACACACCCACTTCACGAAAGGGGGTAACAGACTGTCCAGTGATAAATGTTTTACGCGAAGCAGGGGTGCCTAAGAACTTTCTACAGAGTGTAAATTGTCGAGTTAGCACCCTACACCACATCAGTTTACGTTGAATGGGTGGTTCTTGTCGAACTTGTAGCTACAGACGGTTTTAGATGTTGCCTGACGGGTTGCCATGAACTTTGCTGCAGAGGTCATAGCGCAGGGCAGTCTGGTTGGGTTGTACCATTATTACTCTCCAATTAGAGGTTTGGGTTTTGACTTATTTTTGGCGTGTTCTTAGGCTTTTTTTATGGGGGTTTCTTTTTGTTCACTGGCAATCCCGTAAAAAATTCCAGTGCAAAAAAGAACCCTCCATAAAATAAGCCTAAAAACACGCCAAAAATAAGCCAAAACTCAAACCTCTGCTTGGAGAGTAGTACCATAATACGTTTTCACTGAAAGGAGAGAGCACATGTCCATATATAGACTATAGGATGCGAGTAATAAACCTCATATAATCTAAATATACGTATCACGTACTTATTACGTATAAAGATCAGCCCATGTCATTGGTCCCAAAGCAAACAAAATGTCTTTTTAAATCTCGTGATGATCGATATATAACGTATCATTCGATGGATGGTCGGATGCTCGCGATAAGCATCTGTAAATGAATGGCGCACTACACAGTCACTACACTCCCTTCCTCATACAACAGTGTTCAAGCTCTATTTTCAGACCTCCCGAAGACTGTGCCAAGGTTCAACCGTTTTGGAATCTGGCCTATACCCCGCTCTCCACAAGGCCAATGTTACATGTTTGGCCTACATCCAGCCATGGTGCCCTTGAATACACTTTGGGGGAGTATGGCCACCATCAAAGATGGTTAAAACTAAGACCAACTAAGCATGACATCTGCAGTGCCAAGATTTTCTTTGGAATAAACATGTTCTGATACTCTCAGCTGGCAATCTCAGTGAGATGATCGAGGATTGACTTGCCAAAAGTCAGCAGGAGCGCTTGGTGAACATAGGTTACGCAGAAAGGTGAGTTAGAAATATGTTACAGTAATCAGTTGGAGTCTGCGTTCGATTACAGTTCATGTCTTTATGTTACTAATACATGTACCAGCTTGTAGAGGCAGTATCCGTAGGTCTTTTGCTTTAGCTATGGGTCTTCATTTTGCCAAATGATAACATGGCAACTGAAGCTGACCTGATGCTGCTGTATGAATATAATAAATCAGTGATTGTTCGAAAAGTATAACGTTACAAATGGTATCACTTAACGTTAACGGTTAGAATATCTTTTCTTTTCTTTTTTTCCTAAGACTCATGCAGTAGATATAACATTGAACTTGAAGTACATGTAATATAGTAACCCAGATATAATATTTGATGTACCTACCATTTACCAATTACTATAAGAATTTAAAAGAAAACTGTTTCAAAGCGTTATCTGAGATCTAGTCTTCAGATGACGTGTTATCAGTTTACTGCTTCGATAGAGCTAACTAAGAATTGCCCATGACATGATTGAGTCTTAAATGCCCATATTTCATCAATTAAACTAGACTTGCCAGAAACGTATTCCTAACTATGACTTGTCCGACCTTGTCCACGTGTATGATGGTCTATTAATGTCACTTGGGTATGAAATTGGAGGCAAGGATCGGGTAATATGTAATACTCTTCAAGTCTCGGGTCAGGGTTGTGAATTTGAAACTGTTGATCTTACACTTTCATCTTATAATTTGTGTTTGGCCTTGCGTGTACTCAGTTAATAATCACTTCATGCGCTCCGTGTGTGGTGGTGCTGAATATACTTTAGACATACGTAACTCCGTTACTCAATTGTACCCTGATTTCTAATGTACTACAGGTTCAAACTGAATGTGTGTGGATTCTGTGGAAGCTGTAATATTCTATTGATTGCCATGAGTAAACGTGCAAAGGTGCTAGAGGTAGAGACAGTATAGAATATAACGTCCCATTTCTTTGTTCATTTGCTTTTCAGATATAACCGAACGTCTCCCTCGCGGAAATGTTATAGTTTAGTATATATATATATATATATAGGTTACATGTCTAAAGTTTTCTTTTCAATCATTCCCAAACTATGTAGAAAATTTGCTCATGACGTCGTGTCTGTTAGATGATGCCGTTTACTAGTGGACGCAACAATAATGCGACTATATATGTTACAATACAGTGGTGTGGAGTAAATGTGGCAGAGTTGACAGCGTGTCAAGTGTTTGTTTTATCGTAAACAGCGCGGTAATAGCAGTCTGCCTACTTGAACATCGCCGTGGCTGTTGTGGCAATCCAGTTGTCTGATGTCCATCAAGGTGTTCACTCTGTGAAACCACGGGGAGAGGGCCAGAGGCCGATCGGTGTCTGTGTATTTGTTTCAAGTATAAACATCACAACAACATCTCGTACTCCCGGCGAAACGTGCCAACAGATTGCTATGTCTCTGTTTATCAAACAGCTGTGTTTTTGTTACACGTTTTGTGCCATCCACCACCGCTGGGGTAAGGGAGAGAGTTTACGGCCAGCAACACAGAGGCAGACAGTCAACAAACACTTGAAGAGTTTGTGGTTACCGCGAGATGCGGCCAGATGGGGGACATGCGCTCTTCTGGCTGGCCGTATTCTTGACCAACTTGCCTTTCATTGATGCAAGTGAACAACCTCCAGGCGGCGCTAGTTGTCTTGTCGTGTCATTATCATCAGCACGGTGGAATATAGCCTCTACCAGGCTTCGGGAGACGGCTGGAAAGAGTAGAAATCGGTCAAATAGAGCAGAGATAACTTGCCGTGGGAGTTTGTCCGCTAGAGAGTTCGTTTTGTACCTACTTCCCCGGGATGTTATCTCTCTCTTTTTGGCCGATTTCTACTCTTTTCAGCCGCCTCCCGAAGCCTGGTAGAGGCTAGGAGAGGCTAGGAATATAGCTTTCGGTGCCTAACTGTCATGTAGTACTGAATACAAAGGGAAGTGGAGGGCTCTTGCAGTCGCCTGCGTTGCAGCCGACCAATGATGATGATGATGCCTACATACATGCATACTTCTTCAATGCCATAAACTTCAACGAAACCCTGTAGAGAGGCACTCGGAGGTGGCATTACGTAAACTTCATTTTTTCTAACTCTTTCTTTACTTAGCAAGGTGAGATTGATGAAAGAACTGAACAAAGCGACGGTGTTTTCTAGTGTAAACGAGTCAGACAGAGGGATCAGACGGAAAAAGCCCAAAAGAGCCAAGAAGTTTTGATCAGACATGTTTCCAGACGATTTGTCCCGCAGCAGTTGTGCTTGTCTGTCAGTTCCCTACTTTGAAAGCATTAAGTACATACAGGACATACAGTACTATGGAACTTCGGGGAGTGACCACTAGTTCTGCTATACAGATTGTGTGTGCAGCCGGCATCCTGTTGGTCTGTTTAGGTAACAAATAAACAGGGGAGCACGGGTGCTAGGACGGTCGTCTGCTAAGACAACAAACTTTTTGACGGCCCGTCCTGCCATATGTGGTGACATCTCAGTTATAAGGGATGATATCGCAAAGGTCAGCAACCCGTTATCGAGTGATGATCGTTGTGTGGATGGGTGTGCTAAACTCGGTCAAGATGGCATTCAGGTTCTTCGAGCGGCTCATTATTATAGGATAGATCTAGCACAGGATGTGTCAGTCAAACCATTCAGACAAGCAAATGGTTCTTACCAAATACTGGTACTGGTCCAGCCACGGTTGACTCCCTCTTCCTGAACTGGCTGGTACGGGGGCACGAGCCAAATGCCAATGGATTCTGTAATCGATATGATTCATCTACATGTATAAACTACCGACGATGTAATTTAAATACTCTGCAAGCTTCGGAAACGGATGGCTAACATCTCTCCAGGAGGACTCATCTCTTGTTGGCATCATGCTGTGTGCTGTAGCTGATCTAGGATTCCTCTTGTATGTCTGAGTAATCAGAAAGGCGGTCAGAAAGACAGGTCTATGCTCAGTACAAGTGGGTCCGATTATCCGATAAAACATCCAAATAGAATGGTTACCAAGCTAGTGTCTTCATCGCCGATCGCTCTACCTAAAGTATGTCCCTGTAACAGTATACCTTTGTAATGATGTACTACCAATCTCCATATATAATCGCTTACATTGTCTCGCTAACAGAGTAGCAGTCATGTTCTTTATGTACTTTGTGGAACAAGGCCACCCGACTGCAAACTCCGAAACTCTGTTGGCAAACAATTGCCTTGTAAGGAGTTTCGTGTCAAACCGACCATTTGGTGCGGGGTCATTGGGGTCGGCGGAGGCCTTCTTCAATCCTGGCGGGGGACACGTCGTTCTTGGCCTTTCGGATATAAGTTAGGCGGATCTGGAGTAGTTGTGATGGTTGCTTTGCTGACGATGCTTACTATATGGAGTCCAGGACCCTAGTCACGCAGTCCCTGTTGCCTACGTATTCCCATCTTGGTTGATTATATACTAGTAGATGATATCACAAATCTCACATACCATAACCCTTAATATCCCAAACAGGTCTGTATTCGTTCAATGAGGCCTGGATAGGAACGTTCATCGGAATCTATCGATGAAATCCTTACCCCCCCTCCCATCCCCACCTGTAATGAGATGAGTCATTGTACTTTTTTGTAGCGTAATCTAATGGAGCTATTATTTGAGAATAGCCCCCATGATCTACTTTCCAAACGCCTTTTTCACGCTATAATTTTAAGTATCGTGAATTAATCCACTGCCATGATTTATCTTGGGACTTAGGTGATTTCATGCCCCGTGTACCAACAGAAAGGCCCCATGAGACGTCTATCCGGTGCTGTTGTGGTGTGTAAGTAAAGTGTTGTTGCTGGAGTGAGACCGGGCGGTATGGTGAGGATTAGCCGGGGATGAAAGTATAGCTGCGCTGGTGACAGCGGTGATAATCCCTAGCATATGATACTTTCCCCGCCAATGGTCGACGGACCTGTCGAGGTTCGGTGCCCTGTGAACACATCCAGACTTTCTCCAGCTTCGGAAATGTCCTTCAGTTCATGATTGAATGTCACCTCATCCTTGGGTGTCGTTGGATGATAATTTGTAAC